CTTTAGAGGGAGCTCAAGAGCACACTTGCTTCTTTGCAGAGCACACTTCTTTGCAGAGCACACTTCTTTGCAGAGCACGCTTCTTTGCAGAGCACTCTTCTTTGAGAGCACGCTTCTTTGCAGAGCACACTTGCGCTTCTTTGCGCAGCACACTTCTTTGCAGAGCACACTTCTTTGCAGAGCACACTTCTTCGCAGAGCACTCTTCTTTGCAGAGCACACTTCTTTGCAGAGCACTCTTCTTTGCAGAGGACACTTGCGCTTCTTTGCAGAGCACACTTCTTTGCAGAGCACACTTCTTTGCAGAGCACGCTTCTTTGCAGAGCACTCTTCTTTGCAGAGCACGCTTCTTTGCAGAGCACTCTTCTTCGCAGAGCACTCTTCTTTGCAAACCACACTTGCGCTTCTTTGCGCAACACTCTTCTTTGCAGAGCACACTTCTTTGCAGAGCGCACTTCTTTGCAGAGCGCGCTTCTTTGCAGAGCACACTTGCGCTTCTTTGCAGAGCACACTTCTTTGCAGAGCACACTTCTTTGCAGAGCACGCTTCTTTGCAGAGCACGCGTCTTTGCAAAGCAAGCACTCTTCTTTGCAGAGCACGCTTCTTTGCAGAGCACACTTGCGCTTCTTTGCAGAGCACACTTCTTTGCAGAGCACACTTCTTTGCAGAGCACACTTCTTTGCAGAGCACACTTCTTCGCAGAGCACTCTTCTTTGCAGAGCACTCTTCTTTGCAGAGCACACTTCTTCGCAGAGCACTCTTCTTTGCAGAGCACTCTTCTTTGCAGAGCACGCTTCTTTGCTCTCTCTCTCTCTCTCTCTCTCTCCTCTCTCTCTTCTCTCTTCTCTCTTCTCTCTCTCCTCTCTCTCCTCTCTCTCTCTCTCTCTCCTCTCTCTCTCTCTCTCTCTCTCTCTCTCCTCTCTCTCTTCTCTCTTCTCTCTTCTCTCTCTTCCTCTCTCTCTCTCTCTCTCTCTCTCTCTCTCTCTCTCTCTCTCTCTCTCTCTCTCTCTCTCTCTCTCTCTCTCTCTCTCTCTCTCTCTCTCTCTCTCTCTAGAGGGGGTTTCCCAAATGGATTCTATTCTACCTGACAGGCTCCTAGCACTCGTCCGTCCAGGAAACGACCTCGTCCTGCGAAGGATTCGAAACCTAAAACGCTGCGTGCAGCCACACGCCTGCACGCAGCGTTTTAGGTTTCGAATCCTTCACAGGACGAGGTTGTTTCCTGGACGGACGAGTGCTAGGAGCCTGTCAGGTAGAAGAATCCATTTGGGAAACCCCCTCTAAAGAGAGAGGTTTTCTGTTCACGTTTTGTGTCCGGCGAGGACGAACGTCATGGTGCTCCGCTTGTTTCCACACTTATGAACCGTGTTCGCATGTGACAAGGAAGGCAAAGACCTTCCGGCATCGTCACTGTGTGTCTCAATCAGGGACACGTTGACGCAAACGTTAGGTGTTTTCCTTTTGGTTTGGACTGGAAAGTTGTTTAAGTCTCCCCCCTTTTGGTTTGAGTCCCATCCGGTGACTGAACGAGAACCTTGATTTCCCGGCGTGCAGACAAAAAGATGAATGTTCTATATCACCAATATCAGACTGTGGAAAACATAAGAACATGCATTAGTGAAAGAGATAGAGTCAAACACTCAGGATAGAGAAATTAAGACATGCTCGGCTGGCTGCTTTGTCATGTCGAAGGGCCCGTAGCGCAAAGGATAGCTAGGCTTCTCGTAGCAGCGCGCGCTTGATTCCAGGTTGCGACAAGGAGCGAGGAGGATTTCAGGCTGAGAGGAACTGGCCGAGGAGGACAGGCTGAGAGGACCTCAATCAAGGAACCCTATGGTTGTCCCCCACTACCTCTTAAGCAAGAGATTTGCCGAAACGACGAGGTTTTCAGAAGTTGCAGATTGTGCTTTTTTCCAGCCCGCGGAACCGCGTGACATCCGATGACGTCCGCGAGACATCCTATGACATTGACCGAAAAAGTGCCGATTATGCGTCATTTTCCATTTTTCACCCGACTATAAGCTGCTTTTCCTTACTACTGACTGCGGCAGCAGCAGTGGCAGCGGACTGCAGCAGCGGACTGCAGGAACAGCTGCAGACTGCGCCGCGCGAGAGCGCGAACAGAGAACAGCGCACCTCTCTCTTTAGAGCGGCAGCTGAGAGGCTTCTGACACGCGTCCGTCCAGGAAACGACCTCGTCCTGCGAAGAATCCGAAAGCTAAAGTGCTGCAGAGAGCCGCGTGCCTGCACTATCTTGACCCCTCGATATGCGGTTTGGCAATTTGCCGCGTATCTGCCTTTGTTTCTGCAAGGCGAGCCCCCTCAAAGGAAACCCTTTTTTCTGGAACCCTCGGTCGTCGGTCGGTCGTCGTCGTCGTCGTCGTCGTTCGGCGGTCGGTCGGTCGTTCGGTTGTCGGTCGGTCGTCGTCGTCGTTCGGTTGGTCGTCGGCCGTACGACCGATCGTCGGCCGTCATTCGCGTCGTTGGATCGGGGATCCCTTTTTTTCCCTGGTTTTTAGCTTGCCTTGCAGAAACGCAGTTACGGGGCAAATTGCAAGCATATCGAGGGGTCGATATAGTGCAGGCACGGGGCTCTCTGCAGCACTTTAGCTCTCGGATTCTTCGCAGGACGAGGTTGTTTCCTGGACGGACGATTGTCAGAAGCCCCTCAGCTGCATCAAAACCCGTTTGGGGAATGGGCGCTATTTTCCAGCAACCCGAGAAAAAGACGCGCCTTCGGTCAGCAGGTTTGTTTGGAGGGTCGTTTGGGTTCAAGTTAGGAGCAGTGCAATAGGTCTCAAACCAGAAACTTGAGAATCACCAACGTCCCAACACAAGGAAGATGAGAAATTAAATACATAATTCATCTGCAACCCAGCAGAAGCCGCCTTTAGAGCAGTTGCTGGTCGACTGTTGCAAAAAGGCTTTGAAGAAGCAACAGGCACAAACTCTCAATTGGCCCAGAAGACGGAAAGCAGGTACACAGCGCTCAAGCTGCAGTCCACACGGGAAGTTTGAGATCCATCAACCGGCACAGCATCACCCCTTGGGGTTAAGGCAAAAGAGAGGTGAAGCACTCGGCCACAGCCACACACCATTTCTGTGCATGCAACCGATCTGAGGATGTGACAACTCTTCCATGGTCCAGCCAAAGACAAAGGTTAGCCTTGCAGTGCAGGTTGAAAGCAAACGTAAATTCACGAGTCCTTGATGGATCTGCCACACGTGCGTACTGCGCGAACGCCAACTTTAGGTTGCACGTCGCGGCAGCTGTTGATCGGGAGCGACCCCACAGTACAACCGCCAGAAACAAGCACAACCTTGCTTAAAAATTCTGTAAAGTTGGGTAGCCTCCAGATTTATGCTGGTATTTGCTGGAGATTGAGTGTGGTGAAGGATTAGGTTCTGTAAATCGTGGTTCTGGCATAACATTTTTTGAGCAAACTTGTTGATTATGCTTGACGGGCAGCTCAAAGCCCTCCTTGCGTTGGAGAATCTTGCGTGTGTTGTTCTTTCTTGTGTGCATTTTCTGTTGGGCTGTTTCCTTTTCTCGACCCTTTTTTTTTTAACTTGTTGTTGTTTCTGGGGCTGGCGCAACAAAGGTTGGAAGCAGACACTTCTCAGGCGGTGCGTACGCTCAGATAGAAGCCTAATTCTGAGCTGCGAGGCTCCTTGGTGGCAAGGACCGTAGCCAGAAATACAGTGGCTAGAATTCAAATGGCTGGAATTCAAGTCTAGAATTCAAGTACGTTGTTCGACAACCAGCCTGAATTCAGCGTTGAAGGCAAAAAACAGCGGCTGCGCCGCATACAGACTGTGCTTGGAAACGCAGGTCGTATGCAGACTGCAGTTTGTGTTGCGGCAAACAGAAATCTGGGGCATCATTGATCTGATGCGACAAAATGGTCCAAATTAAATTTATGCGCCACCGTTGAGGCTCAGGCAAGTCTAAGCAGCAGAACTTGCCCACAAAAAAGGTAAAAGCAAACAAAGATGGATGGGCCTTCACAGAACGGCCCCCATTTTACGGGCCCTGATTCATTTTTCAGTTGCACAACTTGCAAAATCGGAATGTGTTGCATAATGTAGAGGGAGCAGCAGCATCTACTTGGAGAAAAAATCCAACATTTTTTTTGTGCACCGTCAAAAAAGAAGACAAGGTCTGGCAACACATGGTTTTAGCTGTTGTTTATTGGTAAACGCAATTAGCTTGTTGACTCTTGCACCACACGTAAGAATATTGGTGAGCTAGCTCTAACCAGGACTGAACACTTTGCGGACAGGTGCGTAATGGGTGCACCTCAGTATGTGCAACATTTCGTTACGCACTTTTGCCTTGGCCACCACATGTATTTAAATCCTAGTGTATGCAACCCATGTTTTAAAATGACATTGTTACTTTATCTTTGTTTCCGGCCTGTTGATGAGTCCAGGTCTTGGTGATTGTTCGAGGACGCTTGCGGAACCCGGTGGAGACATGTCGTTATTATGCTTTTTTTCAAGGCCATGCTACGATGCTTTTGCTGCTTGTGAATTCCGCACAGATGCGGCAAATGACCTTCATCAGGACACTTTTAGATTTTCTTTCGAGTTCATACGTCTTGATTTCGTTGAGGATTGCCAAAGACGTTCTTGACCTCTAGGATTATCAGGCTCCCGCGGGGGTGCCTTGTGTTTTTGTTTCATGTTGTGTTTTGTTCTGTGGTTTGGTTCCGCGTTTTCTTTGTTCCGTACCTTTCCTCGCCTTTTAGTTTTCCACACTTGCGCGACGCTAAAACTGCGGACCCGCGTAATACAATGGCCGCGTGGAGCAAACAAAACCTGGCTGCTCTTTGGCGACAGAACGCGTGACGGGCATGGTTGATGCGGACAACCGTGAGATCAGCAAGGATTAATTTTGCGACGACGAGGGCCGAATGGCTTTGATGGTGGCTTTTGCCTTTTATGGCAGACGGCGGAGATTGTATTTGGCCTTTTGGCTGGCGTGAACCTTGAGCCTAGGCAACTGGCTTGGGCTTTTCTTCTTCATGAAGATCAAGCAGAACATCAAGATGCAGGCACTGTGTATCACACGAATGAGGTGCCCTCACTACGCGGGTGGTAGGGCGCTTGCGCAAAGTGCTGTGGACATGAAGGCATCAGAATGAGGGTTCAGTTCCGTCATGTCCGCAGCATGAGAATCATGAACGCATGGATGCAGTAGGCTCCAACTTGCATAGACAAAAAGGGGGAACAAGAAAGAAAAGAGGACGAAAAGGAGAAAGAGACAATAAAATGAAAAAGACAAAACAGCTACAGAAATTGTAGTGTCATTTGCGTTCAGGAAACGGGAAAACATTGTCGGCGCAAATGCACAGGTGATGCTGGGGGTGTCAAGCGCTAGTGGGAATGCCGAAGCGCCATGGGTATCTGGAACGAAACGCGCAAAACGTCTCCTCGCTAGCATCCCGGGCGGGGCCTAACAGCACTTTGACAGCAACGTCCCCAACATCACCAATTGGGCCTCTTATACCGGGTAATTATTTGAACCATGTAGCTTCCAACTGATCGTTTAATGATCACAACAAGCCTTGTTTGATCACCATGACTCATGAGTTAACTTTCAATGTACCCATGATGCGTTGTCGCCCTTCTCGTGCGCCTCAGGTTATTTGTTTGCTGCTTGAAAGTCCATAGCGGACTGTACGTGCGCCTTGCAAGGCGGCCGCAGAAACGGGGTGCTTGCGTTCGTGAGTTGCGTGATTCCCCGTGTTTAACGATTCGTCTTATTTTGTCTCCGTGGGCGCGCACATGTTTGCAAACCTCTTCCAATCATGCCGGAACAAGGGCCGAACAAGTTTAGCTGTTGTTTGGTTCTGATACCAGAGTGTTGTAATCCCGTCGTTTTTTTTTTTTTTTTTTTTGGGGGGGCAGATTTTTGCACAGTTTTTCCATTTTGTTTTTTAAATAAAAACATATAATAACAAATAAAACAAATAATAACAATAACAACAGTGTGTGTGTGTGTGCGTGTGTGTGTGTGCGTGTGCGTGTACCGTGAGTACTGCGATAAAAACGACACGTTGCGTCGATGGACCCGTGTTTGGCAACCATCTCGCGTATGGCGCAACTCGGCGAAACAATGTCAGCCCACCAGTTGAACATGCGCAGTTTTTCTGGTTCAAGCGGATCCTTGCTGACATATCTGATGCACGACGGTGCAACGAATGCCATAAGGTCATCCTGATTCACCGTCGTTACTTTCTTTTGTGTAGCACATGGACATCATGCTTTTTTCGCGCATTAAATACTGTAGCTTGCAACTTGCAAGTCAACTGATGGGATTGGAACAAGCGCCTATGTCAACCTTGTGTTTTTCACTGTGTGGCCGTGCGCATGTTGCATGGTCGAAGGCTGCCGTCTGCCTGCATCACAGGTGTCTGTGTTGCCCGGGCAGCAGGCCACATACCAATGCCGCACTCACAAGGCCTGGGAGAGGGGGGGGTGCAAGGGCTGGCATGTAACTAGGATCCATTAACAGGGTGTAGCATTGGTTGCCATTTGGGCCCGTGGCAAGCATTATGTTGGCAAGAAGCAATACTTGTCCCAAGTTCGTATCGAGACTTCAAACCCTGGTGCGGATGCGTTGGGGAGCCTTGGTAAACCCGGTAGATGCAGCGGTGTGTGTGTGTGTGTGTGTGTGTGTGTTTGTGTGTGTGTGTGTGCTTTTTCAGCGAGAGCCCCGCCCCTTTGCTGAGGAGTGCACGGCCCTTTTGCACCGCTTGAGCCACTCGCATGCGTGGCAGCGAGCACTGGAAGTTGTGGGAGTGACCTGCGGAGGGAAGGTTGCTTGTGGCTTTGGACAAATCTTAAAGCGCGCACTCGAGTGCTGTTGGATGAGTCATTGAGCAGTTAGCATCCCGAGAATCTCGGTTGGGCGCGATGAAATATCCGTGCGGCCGCGTCAGGTATTTCGCCAGAACGTTCTGGAACCGAACATCATCAATCGCAATGCTTTGTTGAGCGCCTTGTCTTATCCTGTTCAGAACTGGCGTGTGGACATTTGGGTGGATCAGCCATTTGCTCCTGACCTTGGACATAGTGGCATGCAATAATTTCAGTCAAACAGTACTTTGAGGCAGTCTTAGAGTGTTTCCACTACCCCCAAAACCACGACCCCAAAGAAGAATGGATGCAATACATAACCACTATACGGAAGAGACATATGATTACATGTTCAAAGGAGGGGGCAGTGCAACCCCTCTTAAACATACCAGCGTCCCATCCAAGGCAGCTTGCAACGAGGGCGGCAATGGGCCAGAGTTTGCTCTCTACTTTTTGCCAGGACTGTAGGCTTTTTGAGACTTTGGAGGGTCGGGCCGGGCCAAGGCTTTTCTTTTCTGATGTTCGACTCGCTGTTGCTTCCTTCCAGGTGAGAGAGGGAGAGGGCGAGAACAATATCTGAACGCAAAGCACGGGGAGTGAGCAAAACCCGCGTTCTGGTTTGCGTGCTCGGAGCCTCCCTCCGACTTGGCAGGAGTCGGACCGACGTTTGGTCCTTCAGCACGGCGGCGGGGGCCTTCGATAGCTGGCGAAGTCCTTTGTGGTTGTTGGAGCGGCCCCTCGGCAGTTCGGGGTCAGAAGTTTCCGCCTATTGGCGAGCGTTTCCACCGCTTCGGGGGAAAAGCGAGTGAAAACTTGATGAAGGTCCTTTACTCGGGGATCCGATTCTTAAGCCAGCTTTTGAAATTATTGTAAAATTTGCGGATCCACGTGGAATCTCGCTGGAAAATGGGTCCCGGAATTTCATTTGTTTTTGAGAAAGGATCCTCTGGTGGTTTCTATGTTGGACGGGAGGGTAGGTTTTCAACCTGAGGTAAGCTTGGGTTTGCAGTTTTGGTGTCTTTGCAAGGCGAACCCCAGAGAAGTGCTTCAATGTGAGTGTCCCCAACATGAGGAATGGGCTAGTGGCAAACAAGCCCATGTATCGGTGAGAGGCATATGATCCGAGGATTGGACATGCGCGGCACGCTCCCAACGTCGCACTTTGGCAAGCATAGCGGTTTTGATGAGCTGTTTGAGATTGCTGGTGCTACAATTTCGTTGCATCCGACTTTGTGCCGAAGGTCCTATACCATGCCTCTGCCTTCTTCCGGACTAAATGTGTGATTGCTGTTTCCTTTGTGTTGCAATCGTTGCGTGCCGTGCTCATCATCTCGTCTTTTTTTTGGAAGCTGTTTCTTCATGTCAAATGTCAACGCCTTGTTTGGCAGTGCCAACAATCTGCAGTGGCTGGGAAGGTTCTTGCTGGCGCCATTCTATCTTCCTGCGAGGCGCGGTCACTCGCACCAATACGGCGCGCAGTAGCAATACGTGCGTGAAGGGAGAATGTCAGGGGCATCCCAGAATCAGATTCACTATGTGTCTACTGTACAAGGGGGTTTGAAAGGTCCAGTAAAACACATGCCGCGAGCATGCCTGTGTGAGGCCTTGTGCCATAAAGCCCACCGGTCAACGGATTTCGCTGGCAGGTGCCGGGCGCTTGGTCGATGGCGCTGGCCCTTTTTGGGCAGATGCCGCTCAAGGAACCACATCGAGTTGTTGGTTTGGGCTGCAGGGAAAGTGGGAAGGAAGGGACTGTGTTGGGAAAAGGCGTTCTACTGGATGCGAACTTGTTGGTCATCGCCCGTTGTTTGGCTCTGAGCCGATTGCTGGGTGTCCAATCACCAGTCACCCCCTGTTCGAAAGATGAGACACTTGCCAGCCATTGGCAAGCTGACTATGTTATGGCTGACTAATGATGTGCCCAACTACCCCAGGAAAGCCGCTATTTTCTGAAGAGATACGGCAACCTTTCGCAACCTGAGTGTCTTCTTTTTTTGGTCGGGGAGAAGGGTTGACTTCGTTCCAAGGTCGACAGCGATGGGCATTTCGCCGAACACGGTGGCCCTGGCCTCTGCCCAGACGGCCTGCGAAAAGAGCAGCCAGTGGGCTGAGGCATCTGAGAGTTGCCACCGCGCGCATTTGGCCCTTTGGTCGGACCGTGTCGGAGCTGATTGTTTTAATCTTCTTGGGTTGGAGTCCAAAGGAATTGGACACCCAATGAGGCGGGTTCCTGAGATTATACTCGAGCACCCCAGAGGGCAGGTCAGAATGGACCTCAACAGCTTCCTTCTGGTTTGAACAAGATCCATTGACTGCGCTGGGGCCTGGGCGGGGGGGGGGGGGATGACCTCCGGACGTTTCATTTTCATATAATATCATGCAGGCAGGCGAGCGATTTCGATTTTTGTCACATTGCTGGAGGCGGTCCACTTCTTGATCCAAGCACAGCTGGGGGCGTTGCTGCCGAACGTGGTCGCTGGGAATGTGGCAGCACGCGCTGCACTGGTTTCGTTGGTATTTTTTGCCTTTATTCAATGGTAAGCTCACCTGGAGGTAAAACAAGCTCCCTGTGATGTAGGTTCTTTGCTCGTGGGATTCCCTTATTTCAAGGCCGCATTGTTCAGGCCCAGGCTTGGAAGGCAGCGAGTCCAGCACGGACCCCCCAAAGGCGAATTGTTCACGAGCCGGAGCGAAAACTGGGATTCGTTGGCAAATACTAGACCCAAGATGGCTGGCATACGGGTTTCAGTTTAAACCCGACCCGAAACAAGACAGCCGTGCCCATGGTTTTGCTCGGAAAGCTCCACGCGACAAAAACTCTGAGGCAGTCAGCGCTTGTGCCCGCATCAGCGCCTGGGAAAGGGCCTTGGTGCTGGTTTCATGGCTGAAGAGAGCGCTCTTTCGGGCGAGCTGGGCGCGCTTCGGGTTTCCTCACGACCCTGTCCCATCGTTTTTTTTTTGGATGATGCACAATACATGTACATTTGTTGAGGTAGCTATTTGTTTACTACGTATTTATTTTAGTATTTTGTTTATGTAGGGTCGGGTTTTGTTACCTCACGGACTTGGAGCGAGAGATGGTTCTCAAAAGGGGCCTGGTCCTTGGCATGAAAAGAACCGGGGGTGCCGAGTTCGGCGGCCTCCCTGAAAGAGGATGACAAGATCTAGGACGAGTTGGTGGTACATCCTAGGCAAAATATATATATATATATATATATTAATATATATTAATATATATTTTAATATATTTTAATATGATATTATATATCATAGCTTTTTTTTGGCCATCCCGTGCCTGGCGTGGATTGTGTTCAGGGAGGTATCAGGGCAACTTGCGCGAAGGCGGTGACTGGTGGCTGGCACATGGAGTTTGGTCAAGATCGGCTATCCATTGCGCGTTTTTGGACGGCCCAGTGAGGCAACATTGAGGGAGGGAGATTTCAGCTTTGAGGAGATTACAGTAAGGCTGGAATTGGGACCCCAAGGACTCTTCGCGAAAACATCTCGCCATTTTCGGCTGGGACATATTCTATTTGCCGTTTGCCGAGCGGCCCAATGTGGTGCCGAGTCAAGGGCAGCTTCGCGAAACGCCTTGGGCAGCGCTGCCTTTCAGGCTTCTCAACGTGGCGGACCCCTGGGGACTCCAGAGGAAACTCGCCGTGCAAAAGCACCCCGTGGGTGCTGAAAGGGGCATTGTACTGGTTAGTAAGCTTGGTGATGGCAGTTCTCATGGGGACCCCAGCCTAAGCGGTGTCTTCCAAGGCTTCGGCGGCTGATCACGCGGACCTGGTGACCTTCAACTCCGCGGTGGATGCGTGCCACAAGGCATCCCCCGGGCTTCTTTTTCATTTGGGTGTGGCTCAAAATTAAACAGGAGGGGTTACGCAGGTTTTGGTCCATGTTTCCACTTACAAGGGTTCCATTTTGGTACCGGTTTTTTGAGCCACAGCCATTTCGTAACTTCTAATCTCTGCCTATCCACCACAATTCTCGTGTCTCCTTTGGTCCGCTTGAAACAAAGACTGTCCACGGCAGCTTTTGGGCGCTGTGAAGCCCGAGACCCTCTGAAGGTCTGCAGCTGTAGCCCCGCCTGTGGGCCCAGGCCGTGACAGCAGCTTATATTGCCATTCTATTAGGCCTTTGCTTTGGTGAACTCAGGGTAAACAGATGTCTTTTGGGCAAATCCGTCGGTTTTTCCACGGGCAGATGAAAAGACAGCCAGGAGTTCAATGTTTTTCCCAGAAGGCGCCATCCGGGGGGGGTGTGGGGGGGGGGTGCCCGATCATCCGAAGCTTGTTAAATTTGCCACTGACACAAGGGGAGTTATTGAGAGGTCTGCACTTGCTTTAAGGTGCAGGGTTATCCATACTTGGGCCGTTTCTCAGGGCTCAGTCTCTTCACCTTCAGCTTGTTCGATACTGTACCTTTGGGCCACTTCATCTAAAAAAACTCTTTGAGGGTCCTTTTTTTCGGGTTTTGCGTGAAAGGGAATCCAACAGGCAGGCTGGAGTGGGGAACTTCGCTTATATTGAGCAAAGCTCGTATGTGTATCAAGATGGACCTCTCGTTTTGCTTGTGAAAAGGGCCGAGCCCATCTTGTGGAAAACACTTTTGGTGTCCCTTTCGAGACAAACCCGCATGGGGTGGTATGAACACCCCGCACCTTTGCATTATGTAGGGCTTCGTCCGGAAGGGGAGGTGCATGTGTGGAACGCCTGTAAAACGATAAGAAAGAAAAACCGAAAACGCTTGTTGCTACTACTACTACTACTACTACTACTACTACCTACTACTACTACTACTACTACTACTACTACTACTACTACTACTACTACTACTACTACTACTACTACTACTACTACTACTACTACTACTCTACTACTACTACTACTACTACTACTACTACTACTACTACTACTACTACTACTACTACTACTACTACTACTACTACTACTACTACTACTACTACTACTACTACTACTACTACTACTACTACTACTACTACTACTACTACTACTACTACTACTACTACTACTACTACTACTACTACTACTACTACTACTACTACTACTACTACTACTACTACTACTACTACTACTACTACTACTACTACTACTACTAACTACTAACTACTAACTACTAACTACTAACTACTAACTACTAACTACTAACTACTACTACTACTACTACTACTACTACTACTACTACTACTACTACTGCTACTACGGCGGACGACGGACGACGGACGACGGACGACGGACGACGGACGACGGACGACGGACGACGGACGACGGACGACGGACGACGGACGACGGACGACCGACGACCGACGACCGACGACCGACGACCGACGACCGACGACCGACGACCGACGACCGACGACCGACGACCGACGACCGATGACCGACGACCGACGACCGACGACCGACGACCGACGACCGACGACCGACGACCGACGACCGACGACCGACGACCGACGAGCGACGACCGACGACCGACGACCGACGACCGACGACCGACGACCGACGACCGACGACCGACGACGACGACGACGACGACTACTACTACTACTACTACTACTACTGCTACTAGTTTGCCCCTCTTTCAAAAGAGATCCAAGTCCCATGTGGCAATTCTTGGTCCAAAAGCTGAGGTTGTTTGACCCTGAAAACCTCAGACTCGCCGTTTCGATTGAGGCGCAGCGCTGGGAGTGGGCTCTGGAGCTTGTGCGGTGCGAAGCCCAAAGGGTCGAAGCTCGCACAACGATGGAGTTTGTTGGATGGAAATTGGCATATTCAGGGTACTTTGGCCATGGCTGTTGCTGGAACGGCCCTGATTTCCAGAATGGCTGTTGCGCAAGCGCGAAAGAAAGAAGAACCTGGCATATGGCGTTTGATCAGAAGGTTCTTTACATGGGGTGGACTATTGGCAAGCCCAAGATGATTTGGGGAAGCCCGTGAAAATAGCAGCAGATGACTGGCTTCTTTTGGTCAGGCATTGTGCTAATAATTTGGTGGTCTTCTCATCTGACCTTTGCGGACGCGTTTGAAGGTCATGTAAAGCCATGCTGGCTTCTCAAATGATGGGCTGACTTCCACGATTCAACTGCTGACTGTGGAGTCTGTCCCACCGCGACTGTTTTTTTGACACTTGGCGTTGATGGCTGAAAACCCCTGCTTTGGCAGATTTTGTGAGCCTTGCCTTCAAAGAAGTGCAGACAGATTGGCGTTGGTGGTTGGCTCAGTCAAAACCCTAGGACACTGGTGGCAAGGAGACTCACTCCAGATGTCGCACTGATCTCAGAGGTCAGATTCAGGAGGCCGGTTTACCACTGTGGCAGAGGGGTCAGACAGCTGATTGAGTGAATGGTGCAAGCCGTAAGCAATCGCATGAATGTGTTTGCGACTTCAGGAGCAGTGTCTCCAGCCTTCCCCCAACGGAAAGTGCTCACTCAAGGGGCATGTGAATGTCTCTCCCTCTTTGGGTAGGCAGTCGGAAGTTTGTGCATAAACGGATGTGTCTCAAAACTGCAAAGCCCCCACCGTGTTCCCTGACGAAGGCGCAGCGAGTCATGTCGAGTTTCCAGGTGTCGCCTTGCGCGCGTCGCGCTCGCCAGCTGTTTGGCTCAACCGTCCGATCCCGCGACGCCGCGACGCCGCGTCCAACGTCCCGCCGTCTCCATGGCGCGGCGCTCCAAGATCGCTCTGGCCGGCGCGGCTGCAGGCTTGCAGTTCCATCCGAAAGCTGAGGGCCACTTTTCCATTTGTTTTTTGAGTTGGGGGGGGGGGATTTTCTGACTCACTGATGTAAACCTTTGAATTCCAGCTCTTGGAAGGACCCAGCTGGCTTGGCGTGCCCAGATTTCCGGAGCCATCCCCCCCCTTTGCTGCCTCTTGTCGCGTTGGGCCCTCTGCCTGTGGAGCTTTGCCAGGCTCCCTCGCACTTCTGAACTTGTCAGAGGGTTTCGTCGCCGCGCCGAGTGCTGCAACCACTGCAACCTCCGCCGGCGCTGCCACGGCAGCCACCGCCGCTCCGCGGGCGGAGGCGAAGCGCCTCTGCCCGGGGCTTCTTCCCGCGACCTCAAAGAAAAGGTTCTTCTTCTCAGAACCCTGTTCAAGAGTCCCTTGATTCTTTATGGGGCAACGAATCCCGTGGTCGTAAGCAATCGATGCCGGTGTTTGGCCGGGGCGTTGGGGCCTGAAGGTGTTTTGTTTCATCGCTTCGTCTCTTGACTTTCGGCAAAAAGGGATGCAGAAGATTTGGGAATTTAGCAGACCTCCAGTGCTGCATTCGCTTTCGTTTCACAACAAATCAAGAACCAACGAACAGTGGGGAGGTGTGCGGTGGTCCCCTTTTCCCTTTTTCCACAAGCGGAAGGTGTGAGCTGCTGCCTCCCGCAAAGCGAAGAATGTTCCCCATTCGAATGGACAATGAGTCCCAATCAAACCCCAATCGGGTAGTTGAAGGATCGGCGCAGGTTTAGCAAGCAGGCGCGGACTTCGCCTGTTTGACCCTTTTGTTGTTTTTTGTTTTTGTGTCACTCAACAACTGCGTCTTGAACGAATCCGTTTGATTTTGGGCCCCCTTGTGAAGTGTTTGCCAAACACATGAACAACCGCTGACAGGGCGGGCTCGAGAGTTAAAATAACGGCTACGCCCCTTCGCGCATGGTTGGACCTGTTGGACTTCGTGAGCTACAGGTGGAGGAGTTTTAACCAACTCTTGTTGTTGCTTCGCTCGGAGGAGGAGCTTTGATGTCAGAAGCTGGCCAGGGGTGAACGCGGGCCGAGCTGACAACTACGTGCCGGTGTTTAACGGCAAGCAGCGGGACTACAAGGAGTTCCGGAAGCGGTGCGAGATCTATAGGTAGAAGAGGGCCCCGGCAGGATGCAGCAAGGAAACCGCCTACAACCTCAGCACGATGTTGACAGGCCGGGCTTGGGACTTGGTGGAAGACCTCAACATCGAGAGCCTGGCGGAGACGAACGGCTTCGACCTGATTTTTGACAGGCTGGATGCTGGGTTCCGGTATGACCCTTTGACGGAGCTGCCGGATGACTTCGAGAATTATTCGTGAAGTTGCAGAGACGGCCGGGCATCACCCTTCAGGAGTATGCCGCCGACTTCGCAAGGACCCTGCGGAGGTTGAAGACCAACCGCAATGTGGATCTGCCGGAGAAGATTTGTGTCTGGTGGTTCATCCACCACAGCGGAGTGACCAAGGAGCAGAGCGAGATGGTTCCCACCCATGTACGTTGGGGCCACCACAGTGGTGTATCAAACGTGTCTTGGTCCCCCCATTCGGCTGTTGCCACACCTGAAGCTCTTTCGGCAAGGATGCACCTACCTCTTCCAGGTTCACACCATCCTTAGAAGGCACTTGACAGACTTCTTGGTCTGGTACCTCGATTCGAGAAACGATGCGGCACCACCTGAACAGCCACATCTTTGGCATCCGAGTCCTCCTCGTCCGAGGCATAGATCTCCGTCTTGCTGTCCTCATCGATGTCCGTCTTGTTCACCATGCTGACATCGTCGGCTTCTTCTTGTCGCTTCCGCTTCTCACCACCAGTTGGGCAGTTCCGCAGTGACCTGCTTGTCCACATCGAAGGCACAGCTGCCTTCCCGTGGCGGCACGTCCACGCGCCTTGGCACTCGGCGGCGTAGTGCGGGAATCCTCCACCTTGATCGCCGATCATCGCCACCACGGGGTAGAACCCGCGGTGTAGACGTCGACATACTCGTCCACATCGCAGACGTCCGACACCTCCATGATCTCTTCGGGCTGATCGTAGTAGTCCTGGTCTGCATCCAGCCACTCCGTCTCGCTTGCAAACTCAATCTCGTCGCAGAACTGCGGGAAGTCACCTGATTGTAGCTGTCCCAGTCCTCGCCATAGAGCACGTCCGTCCTTGTCTCCCCCACCACGGTCCACTTCAGTTGGTCAGCCTTGCTGTCCTGGCCCACGACGAAGCACATCGCCTCTTGAGCGGCAGTGAGGGTCATCTTGTCGGCGCCCAGCATTGGCGTCAAGCAAAGGTGCTCGTCATCCCCGATCCTGGTTGGCAGACGCAGTGAACTACGGCGACAAGGTCGTGAAGTGGCCCAACCGCAAGTGGGAGAACCTGAAGACCGGGAAGCGTGGCGAGCGCTTATTGATGTTGGTAGAGGGTGTCGACACGTTGTTGGATGCAGAGACGAAAGAGATCCTCATCCCGGAGAAGGCTGGAGACTACGTGGACTTCAGCGTGAACCTCGGACTGGAAGTGTTGCTGCGAGATGGCGACGACGCGGAGAACGAGAATGCGTTCATGGCGGATGAAGCTCTGATGAGCAAGATCCAGGGGGAAGGAGAAGCCGATCTTCGAGCGGGCAGCGATCGAGATCCTGTGCATCAAGGACGCCATGGCGGCGACCGGGAGCGCTTTGAGATGGGTATCATCGGAGCGGCAGCTGGCTGATGGCGTGACGAAGTTCAGAGAGTGTGATCGAGAAGCTGAGGAGCGAAAACAGATGGCGTCGTTGCAGGAGCTGGCTGAGACAGCAGGAAGGTGATGGTCTTCCCAGAAGAGATCGTCATCAGGAAGGCTGGAGAGTGCTACCACGTGAACGAGTGTCACCACGTGAGGGGCCGCAGGACGAGCAAATACGCCTCATGTAGACGGCCTCAGGCCAACTGGGCTGTGAGCAAGGTTACCCGGGCGCAGCATTTTCCTTTTTTGCCCCTGTGTGAAGTGTTTGCCAAACACATGAACAACCGCTGACAGGGCGGGCTCGAGAGTTAAAATAACGGCTACGCCCCTTCGCGCATGGTTGGACCTGTTGGACTTCGTGAGCCAACTCTAGTTGGGCCCCTTTACGGCTTGTTCCGTGACTCCAATGGGGGAACATCTTTTCAGCGGGCGCAGGGCTCCGGGTCCCTGCTGCCCATCGCCTGCGGCGGCGCGGTGGCTGCGGGCTTGGCCAGCCGGGCAGGCGGGAGTTTTGGGGACAAGTTGGCTGGCCGTTTTGTGAAGGATGAGGTGGTTGTTTTCTTAGGGCTGGTTTTCTTTCTGGTCGGTTCGGCCGCATCCTGGGTGGTTTTGGAGTGTTGCCCCACCAAAACTAGCCCAAAGCTCACATAACCACACCCGAAGCAAACCTGCCGCTCAACCAGCCCAGCGGCCTGGATGTGAGCCCTTTGAGCCTGAATGAACCCCAAACCCAACACCCACGGTACGACCTACGCCAGCCCAAAGCTACCCCTCTTAAACCCACAAAAACTCCCAGCTGCCCCAGCAATAGCGTCCAAGTGACACCGGGGATGCGAAAAACCCGGGCTAGAACAAAAACGGCCTCAGGCAACAAACAGAAAACACCTCTGGTGAAGGGAAGGCAGAGGGAGAGCCACTTTTGTTGGGTCACGTTGGGACCAGGCTTCTTTCAGGGGTGTGGTGCACGGCATTATGATCAGAGAAACGAAGAAGCAGAAACTGTGGAAGCTGGGGATGGGGGGCAAATTGGCGCCGGAAATTTTTGGGCGCCGGAAATTTCAGTGATGACTTGGCAGTTGAATCTACCCCGATGCTGCTCTGCCGCTGTTTGTTTGTTTGTTTGTTTGTTTTTGTGTGTGTTTTTCTTTCTTTTTTCTTTTCGGGGAACAGCTTCTGTGGTTTCATCCAATTTTTCTAGCTGAAAGGGAAGCTCAATTGCTGATTGGCGGTTTGCAGGGTCCGACTGTTGGCTCCAGGGATTAAGGCTTAAAAGGTCGCTTGGAAATTTGCAAGGGGTCAGGTCAGATGAACGAAGTAGAAAAGAATGTGGACGAGGAATGTTTGATCATGCTCAGGTGCTTGCTTACCAACCAGGGCGGCATGTGGCTCTTTTGGCGTGATGAATTTGTTTTTTCTACCTGATGGCACTTCACAGGCCCCGCGGAAGGGAAGGGTACGGTACGGAATGGACGTGATCACAGGATGTGAAATTCCTTGGATTTTCCAAATCCACAAGACGCATCGTCAAGCTTGTCGTTTTCCAGGTCGCCCACGGCAGGGAGCGCGCATCCCGACCACCGTCCAGGTAAAGGAGGGACTTGGCGAGGGGCAGGGGAGCTGAAGGGTTGTGCTGACTTTGGCCCAGAAGTTTTTTTTTGGCTGCGTCCATGAAAGTGCAGGTTTGGAGGCTAAACTTCAGGATGTCGCCGTACTGGGTGACTCTGTTTTTCTCCGAGCGGCCACTTGCGATCACGCGGGTCCGCAGATGTCGCCTTACTGGGTGACAACTTCCCCATATGTTTTTTGTCATCCTCGCTGGCAGCCAACAGGTCTTTCACGGTTCCCAGCAGTCCAGTGGCTTGCATTTCAGCAATGAAACATGGCAGGACAGCGCTGTGACGCGTCGGGCTTTGGACCAGTCCAGCCGCTATGCTGATTTGTCCCTGGATGAGGCGACTCTGATCAAGAGACTTAGCTGACTTGGCTGAAGTGTGAGAGTGCTCAATCGTGTTTCGTCTGATCTCTCATTTTGCATTCCATTCTGTTTTGATTGTGTGAATTGTTGCCGATTGGCAGTGTGACGCGGGTGCAGAAAGGAACGGCAAGCACGTGTTGGTGGCCTACATCATGAAGCCCAAGGCAGGCTACGACTACTTGGCTACCGCTGCTCACTTTGCTGCTGAGTCCTCCACCGGCACCAACGTGAATGTGTGCACCACCGATGACTTCACCAAGTCGGTGGATGCCCTGGTGTACTACATCGATCCTGACAACGAGGAGATGAAGATTGCGTACCCGAACTTGCTGTTCGACCGCAACATCACTGATGGCCGCGGCATGATGTGCTCCTTCCTGACCCTGGCCATCGGCAACAATCAGGGCAGCTTGGTTGCGCAGATGTTGTAAATTCTTGAACAGCAACATCATGCTGCTTATGGCAGTTGGTGGCTGTCGTTTTTTTTTGTGTTTGTTTTGTTTTTTTTGTTTTGCAATGCTGAAAATGCACAGGCATGGGCGATGTAGAGTACGGCAAGATCTACGACTTCTACCTCCCTCCTGCGTTCCTGAGGCTGTACGATGGACCGTCCGTGAACGTGCAGGACATGTGGCGCATCCTGGGCCGTGGTACGACCAACGGTGGCCTGGTGGTGGGCACCATCATCAAGCCCAAGCTGGGCCTGCAACCGAAGCCGTTCGGTGAGGCGTGCTACTCCTTCTGGCAAGGTGGTGACTTCATCAAGAACGATGAGCCCCAGGGAAACCAGGTGTTCTGCCAGATGAACGAGTGCATCCCTGAGGTGGTGAAGGCCATGAGGGCGGCCATCAAGGAGACTGGCAGCTTCAAGCTCTTCTCCGCCAACATCACTGCAGATGACCCGAACGAGATGATTGCCCGCGGCAAGTACATCCTGTCTCAGTTCGGTCCTTTGTCTGAGAACTGCGCCTTCCTGGTGGACGGCTACGTGGCAGGCGGCACTGCGGTGACTTGCTGCAGGCGCAACTTCCCCAAGCAGTTCCTGCACTACCACCGCGCCGGCCACGGCTCAGTGACCAGCCCCCAGACCCAGCGAGGCTACACTGCCTTCGTGCACACCAAGATCTCGCGAGTCATCGGCGCATCCGGCATCCACGTTGGCACCATGAGCTTCGGCAAGATGGAGGGCGATGCGTCGGACAAGAACATTGCTTTCATGCTGCAGGACGACGAGGCGGATGGGCCGTACTACCGCCAGGAGTGGCAGGGCATGAAGCAGACCACGCCCATCATCTCGGGCGGCATGAACGCGCTGCGGTTGCCGGCGTTCTTCGAGAATCTGAGCCACTCCAACGTGATCCTGACCGCAGGCGGTGGCGCCTTCGGCCACAAGGACGGCCCCAAGATTGGTGCCATCTCTTGCCGTCAGGGCGAGGATGCCTGGAAGGCATGGAAGTCGGGCCAGTATGGCAACATCAGCCTGAGTGACGGCGTGATCGAGTTTGCCAAGACCCACGAGGAGATCAAGGGTGCGTTCCTGACCTTCCAGAAGGACGCCGACCAGATCTATCCTGGCTGGAAGGAGAAGCTGGGCTACACTGGTGAGTCCTCCGTGCAGGCGGCAAGCTTCGACTGGGCCAAGCGCGCGTCGGCGGCGGCCTTTGTGGGTGCTAGCGTGGCCCCGGCCAAGAAGGAGAGCTCGGTGACGCGACAGGCTTTGGACCAGTCCAGCCGTTATGCTGATTTGTCCCTGGATGAGGCGACTCTGATCAAGAGACTTAGCTGACTTGGCTGAAGTGCGAGAGTGCCCAATCGTGTTTCGTCTGCTCTCTCATTTTGCATTCTGTTTTGACTGTGTGAATTGTTGCCGATTGGCAGTGTGATGCGGGTGCAGAAAAGGAACGGCAAGCACGTGTTGGTGGCCTACATCATGAAGCCCAAGGCAGGCTACGACTACTTGGCTACCGCTGCTCACTTTGCTGCTGAGTCCTCCACTGGCACCAACGTGAATGTGTGCACCACCGATGACTTCACCAAGTCGGTGGATGCCCTGGTGTACTACATCGATCCTGACAACGAGGAGATGAAGATTGCGTACCCGAACCTGCTGTTCGACCGCAACATCACTGATGGCCGCGGCATGATGTGCTCCTTCTTGACCCTGGCCATCGGCAACAATCAGGGCAGCTTGGTTGCGCAGATGTTGTAAATTCTTGAACAGCAACATCATGCTGCTTATGGCAGTTGGTGGCTGTCGTTTTTTTTGTGTTTGTTTTGTTTTTTTTGTTTTGCAATGCTGAAAATGCACAGGCATGGGCGATGTAGAGTACGGCAAGATCTACGACTTCTACCTCCCTCCTGCGTTCCTGAGGCTGTACGATGGACCGTCCGTGAACGTGCAGGACATGTGGCGCATCCTGGGCCGTGGCACGACCAACGGCGGCCTGGTGGTGGGCACCATCATCAAGCCCAAGCTGGGCCTGCAGCCGAAGCCGTTCGGTGAGGCGTGCTACTCCTTCTGGCAAGGTGGTGACTTCATCAAGAACGATGAGCCCCAGGGAAACCAGGTGTTCTGCCAGATGAACGAGTGCATCCCTGAGGTGGTGAAGGCCATGAGGGCGGCCATCAAGGAGACTGGCAGCTTCAAGCTCTTCTCCGCCAACATCACTGCAGATGACCCGAACGAGATGATTGCCCGCGGCAAGTACATCCTGTCTCAGTTCGGTCCTTTGTCTGAGAACTGCGCCTTCCTGGTGGACGGCTACGTGGCAGGCGGCACTGCGGTGACCTGCTGCAGGCGCAACTTCCCCAAGCAGTTCCTGCACTACCACCGCGCCGGCCACGGCTCAGTGACCAGCCCCCAGACCCAGCGAGGCTACACTGCCTTCGTGCACACCAAGATCTCGCGAGTCATCGGCGCATCCGGCATCCACGTTGGCACCATGAGCTTCGGCAAGATGGAGGGCGATGCGTCGGACAAGAACATTGCTTTCATGCTGCAGGACGACGAGGCGGATGGGCCGTACTACCGCCAGGAGTGGCAGGGCATGAAGCAGACCACGCCCATCATCTCGGGCGGCATGAATGCGCTGCGATTGCCGGCGTTCTTCGAGAATCTGAGCCACTCCAACGTGATCCTGACCGCAGGCGGTGGCGCCTTCGGCCACAAGGACGGCCCCAAGATTGGTGCCATCTCTTGCCGTCAGGGCGAGGATGCCTGGAAGGCATGGAAGTCGGGCCAGTATGGCAACATCAGCCTGAGCGACGGCGTGATCGAGTTTGCCAAGACCCACGAGGAGATCAAGGGTGCGTTCCTGACCTTCCAGAAGGACGCCGACCAGATCTATCCTGGCTGGAAGGAGAAGCTGGGCTACACTGGTGAGTCCTCCGTGCAGGCGGCAAGCTTCGACTGGGCCAAGCGCGCGTCGGCGGCGGCCTTTGTGGGTGCCAGCGTGGCCCCGGCCAAGAAGGAGAGCTCGGTGACGCGACAGGCTTTGGACCAGTCCAGCCGTTATGCTGATTTGTCCCTGGATGAGGCGACTCTGATCAAGAGACTTAGCTGACTTGGCTGAAGTGTGAGAGTGCTCAATCGTGTTTCGTCTGATCTCTCATTTTGCATTCTGTTTTGATTGTGTGAATTGTTGCCGATTGGCAGTGTGACGCGGGTGCAGAAAGGAACGGCAAGCACGTGTTGGTGGCCTACATCATGAAGCCCAAGGCAGGCTACGACTACTTGGCTACCGCTGCTCACTTTGCTGCTGAGTCCTCCACTGGCACCAACGTGAATGTGTGCACCACCGATGACTTCACCAAGTCGGTGGATGCCCTGGTGTACTACATCGATCCTGACAACGAGGAGATGAAGATTGCGTACCCGAACCTGCTGTTCGACCGCAACATCACTGATGGCCGCGGCATGATGTGCTCCTTCTTGACCCTGGCCATCGGCAACAATCAGGGCAGCTTGGTTGTCCAGATGTTGTAAATTCTTGAACAGCAACATCATGCTGCTTATGGCAGTTGGTGGCTGTCGTTTTTTTTTTTTTTTTTGCAATGCTGAAAATGCACAGGCATGGGCGATGTAGAGTACGGCAAGATCTACGACTTCTACCTCCCTCCTGCGTTCCTGAGGCTGTACGATGGACCGTCCGTGAACGTGCAGGACATGTGGCGCATCCTGGGCCGTGGCACGACCAACGGCGGTCTTGTGGTGGGCACCATCATCAAGCCCAAGCTGGGCCTGCAGCCGAAGCCGTTCGGTGAGGCGTGCTACTCCTTCTGGCAAGGTGGTGACTTCATCAAGAACGATGAGCCCCAGGGAAACCAGGTGTTCTGCCAGATGAACGAGTGCATCCCTGAGGTGGTGAAGGCCATGAGGGCGGCCATCAAGGAGACTGGCAGCTTCAAGCTCTTCTCCGCCAACATCACTGCAGATGACCCGAACGAGATGATTGCCCGCGGCAAGTACATCCTGTCTCAGTTCGGTCCTTTGTCTGAGAACTGCGCCTTCCTGGTGGATGGCTACGTTGCAGGCGGCACTGCGGTGACTTGCTGCAGGCGCAACTTCCCCAAGCAGTTCCTGCACTACCACCGCGCCGGCCACGGCTCAGTGACCAGCCCCCAGACCCAGCGAGGCTACACTGCCTTTGTGCACACCAAGATCTCGCGAGTCATCGGCGCATCCGGCATCCACGTTGGCACCATGAGCTTCGGCAAGATGGAGGGCGATGCGTCGGACAAGAACATTGCCTTCATGCTGCAGGACGACGAGGCGGATGGGCCGTACTACCGCCAGGAGTGGCAGGGCATGAAGCAGACCACGCCCATCATCTCGGGCGGCATGAATGCGCTGCGGTTGCCGGCGTTCTTCGAGAATCTGAGCCACTCCAACGTGATCCTGACCGCAGGCGGCGGCGCCTTCGGCCACAAGGACGGCCCCAAGATTGGTGCCATCTCCTGCCGTCAGGGCGAGGATGCCTGGAAGGCATGGAAGTCGGGACAGTACGGCAACATCAGCCTGAGCGACGGCGTGATCGAGTTTGCCAAGACCCACGAGGAGATCAAGGGTGCGTTCCTGACCTTCCAGAAGGACGCCGACCAGATCTACCCTGGCTGGAAGGAGAAGCTGGGCTACACTGGTGAGTCCTCCGTGCAGGCGGCAAGCTTCGACTGGGCCAAGCGCGCATGATTGGCCAGGATCCGGGACGGTTTTTCTGCTTCAGGCAGTGTCGTCAGCTGCAATGGGTTGCCGCCTAATTGCAGAGGCAGCATTCTTGTTGTTTTTGCATGTTGTCTTTGCTTGCTTTTGCACTTGATCACTTTCGGACAGATGTTCGAACTGAACCATTGCAGTTTTGCACATCAGGTGAATGGCGATGCTGGCTCGTTGCGTCGCAGCTATGCGGTGCCCACAAGGCTTGCTGTGTAGTCGAAGTTGCAGGCGGCGCGCCCAAGTCTAGACCACAGTTTGGATGCTCTCACTGACTCGTTTAGTTCACTCTACTCCACTAGGTTGAATTCACAGATGGGGCATCCAAAGCAAACTCTAGATATCAGTTTTGGGCGTAAGCCTTTGTCTTGGAATCCTGCACCCCAAAGGCTGATACCTAGCACTACATGGAGCTCACCAAGGAATTTGCCTTTTTTCCTTGTCAGGCTTCCAAGCTAGCGTGCGGCACTCATGATGCCTCAATGCATGAACACGTCAGCTTGCATCCAGAAGCATACTCAAAGACCTTTCTCCACGTGTTCATTCTAGCGCATTTAGACGCTCTAGCTGCTTTCTCCAGCTTGAAGCTCGGGATCTGACAGGGCTCAAGCCCCGGACATTTTTGCGGAGAAACAGACAGCGCGGAGTGCCAAGGAGCCATGCGTCTGCCAGCCTTTGCACGGAAGACATGGGAATGCCCGCGTTGCTTATGCGACTCTTGTCCGTTTGTACCCTCTGCCTGCTTCAGTGCGTCGGCCGTGGGCGCGTCGGCCGTTCTTCGGCTCGCAGGACTTTCTCCTGAACCCAATTTTCGGCCCTCCCAGAGCCTCCCGTGCCATGGCACGCAGCTCCAAGCTGGCGGTGGCCAGCGCGGCGGCCGGTGCGCCCGGCCATTATTTTTTTCTTCTTCGGTGGGGTGGAACGCGGCGGCCGTGGGATGCTTTCCCATGGCACCGGGCCGCTTGTCCTTTCTTCCCTGCATTCCTGAGAGCTGTTTCTCATGGCCGTAATGTTGCAGTGGCTTTTCATTGTTTTTCTAGGGGGGCTTTACCTAAAAACATCCACTACCTCACGCAAACAAGGAAGCTCGTTTTTCCCCTGCCAGTTGTGGTTGGATCCGCTGAGTTGCCCAAGTTGCCAGGTGGCATGGCGCTGCTGAACGCCGCCGCTGATGCCTTTGTGGCGCCCACGCCTGCAGCGCCGAGCCTTCGCGGCTCCAATGCAGCCATGGCGCAGGCGGAGACGTTGACATGATCCAGTGGGATGAGGATTGTTTCCGTGAGTTCGTTGGAAGGGTTGTCTCAGGCAAAGCGACTTAGACCCTTGCTTGACCTTCAAGCCAACATGGATCCGCTACCATGTGGCAGGCTCAGAGCACCCCATCCTCCAGCGCCTTACCGGCTATTGCCTGCGGGGGTGCGGTGGCTGCTGCGGCGGTCGCTGCCCAGCGAACAGGCCTGCCTGCAAATGTGAGCAGCGCCCAAAAACCCCTGTTGGCCATTCCAAACTTTAACAGCTGGTTCTTCTGTATATATATGCTTTCAAGTGGTTTACGGATATAGGCTTGACGTAACATCAAGAAAATGTTGAGAAAAGCCCAAAGTCAACGGGTTTTGGGCGCTGCTTATGTGATGGGGGTGTGGCGCAATCCAGGCGTTCGCTTCCTGCCGCGAGCGCGGAGCAAGGGTTCAAAAGGGGCATCGCCCCTTTCCACTTTGTCTGTAGGCCGGTCGCGCACTTCCGGCCTGCCCAGTGTCCAAGTCAAGGAGACTTACGGCTGGGCAGCGAAGATGTGAGGTTTGCTCACCCCAGGTGATCCCGGTCCGTCGAAATCCGGGCCCCGATGTTCACTTCTCGGGTTTGTCGAAATCCTTGGCCACTGCGCACAGGGCGCTTGTAAGCCTTTATCATCCGTAAAATGACTGCCAGGGGGCCAGAAGGGCCAGCTCCAAGGCAATCATCCTATCATTGGCTGGCTTAAGGGACGAGCAAATGAGCGGGGCGTTGCTGTTCTATTCAAAACCAACAAGGAAATTACGAAGGTTTACAGGCACCTGCCACTTACCATGCTGCAGGGCAGCATTTCTTAAACCCTGCTCTGATAAAGAACTCAAGGTTGGGGCAACACTTGCGAGCAGTGTGAAACCCTGGCAGGAGAGCGCCGTCACCCGTCGCGCCCTGGACCAGTCCAGCCGCTATGCAGACCTCTCCCTGGATGAGGCGACCCTGATCAAGAGACTTTGCTGCAGGTAGAGCGAGCAAAACGGTGCTGCGTTTGATGGGAATGTGCGAAATGAGGAACGGCAAGCACGTGCTGGTGGCCTACATCATGAAGCCCAAGGCCGGCTACGACTACTTGGCCACGGCTGCGCACTTTGCTGCTGAGTCCTCCACGGGCACCAATGTGAACGTGTGCACCACCGATGACTTCACAAAGTCGGTGGATGCCCTGGTGTACTACATCGATCCTGACAATGAGGAGATGAAGATTGCGTACCCGAACCTGCTGTTCGACCGCAATATCACTGATGGCCGCGGCATGATGTGCTCCTTCCTGACCCTGGCCATCGGCAATAATCAGGGCAGCTTGGTTGTTTAGATGTCATAGTTCCTCGAACGGCCAAATCACGGTCCTAATTGCAGGTGTTCGCTGTTGAGAGAGCTGAGTGAAGCAGATGCTTGAAGTGTGCATGGCTGCAGGCATGGGTGATGTCGAGTACGGCAAGATCTACGACTTCTACCTGCCCCCTGCGTTCCTGCGTCTGTACGATGGACCGTCTGTGAACGTGCAGGACATGTGGCGCATCCTGGGCCGTGGCACGACCAACGGGGGTCTTGTGGTGGGCACCATCATCAAGCCCAAGCTGGGCCTGCAGCCGAAGCCGTTCGGTGAGGCGTGCTACTCCTTCTGGCAGGGCGGTGACTTCATCAAGAACGACGAGCCGCAGGGCAACCAGGTGTTCTGCCAGATGAACGAGTGCATCCCCGAGGTGGTGAAGGCCATGAGGGCGGCCATCAAGGAGACCGGCAGCTTCAAGCTCTTCTCCGCCAACATCACTGCGGATGACCCGAATGAGATGATTGCCCGAGGCAAGTACATCCTGTCTCAGTTCGGTCCTTTGTCTGAGAACTGCGCCTTCCTGGTGGACGGCTACGTTGCGGGCGGCACTGCGGTAACCTGCTGCAGGCGCAACTTCCCCAAGCAGTTCCTGCACTACCACCGTGCCGGCCACGGCTCAGTGACCAGCCCCCAGACCCAGCGAGGCTACACTGCCTTCGTGCACACCAAGATCTCGCGAGTCATCGGCGCGTCTGGCATCCACGTGGGCACCATGAGCTTCGGCAAGATGGAGGGCGATGCATCAGACAAGAACATTGCGTTCATGCTGCAGGACGACGAGGCGGATGGTCCTTACTACCGCCAGGAGTGGCAGGGCATGAAGCAGACCACGCCCATCATCTCGGGCGGCATGAACGCGTTGCGACTGCCGGCGTTCTTCGAGAATCTGAGCCACTCCAACGTGATCCTGACCGCAGGCGGTGGCGCCTTCGGCCACAAGGACGGCCCCAAGATTGGTGCCATCTCTTGCCGTCAGGGCGAGGATGCCTGGAAGGCATGGAAGTCGGGCCAGTACGGCAACATCAGCCTGAGTGACGGCGTGATTGAGTTCGCCAAGACCCACGAGGAGATCAAGGGTGCGTTCCTGACCTTCCAGAAGGACGCTGACCAGATCTACCCTGGCTGGAAGGAGAAGCTGGGCTACACTGGTGAGTCCTCCGTGCAGGCGGCAAGCTTCGACTGGGCCAAGCGCGCGTCGGCGGCGGCCTTTGTGGGTGCCAGTGTGGCCCCGTCCAAGAAGGAGAGCTCGGTGACGCGCCAGGCTTTGGACCAGTCCAGCCGCTATGCTGATTTGTCCCTGGATGAGGCGACTCTGATCAAGAGACTTAGCTGACTTGGCTGCAGTGCGAGAGTGCTCAATCGCATTTAGTTTGATTCCTCATTTGGCATAGTTTGCCGTGAGAATTTGTGAATAGGTGGTGCTTGGCTGTGTAACATGTTTGGCAAAGGAACGGCAAGCACGTGCTGGTGGCCTACATCATGAAGCCCAAGGCCGGCTATGACTATTTGGCTACGGCTGCCCACTTTGCTGCGGAGTCCTCCACGGGCACCAATGTGAACGTGTGCACCACCGATGACTTCACAAAGTCGGTGGATGCCCTGGTGTACTACATCGATCCTGACAATGAGGAGATGAAGATTGCGTACCCGAACTTGCTGTTCGATCGCAACATCACTGATGGCCGCGGCATGATGTGCTCCTTCTTGACCCTGGCCATCGGCAACAATCAGGGCAGCTTGGTTGCCTAGATGTCATAGTTCCTTGAACGGCCAAATCACGGTCCTAATTGCAGGTGTTCGCTGTTGAGAGAGCTGAGTGAAGCAGATGCTTGTGCATGGCTGCAGGCATGGGTGATGTCGAGTACGGCAAGATCTACGACTTCTACCTGCCCCCTGCGTTCTTGCGTCTGTACGATGGACCGTCTGTGAACGTGCAGGACATGTGGCGCATCCTGGGCCGTGGCACGACCAACGGCGGTCTTGTGGTGGGCACCATCATCAAGCCCAAGCTAGGCCTGCAGCCGAAGCCGTTCGGTGAGGCGTGCTACTCTTTCTGGCAGGGCGGTGACTTCATCAAGAACGATGAGCCGCAGGGCAACCAGGTGTTCTGCCAGATGAACGAGTGCATCCCCGAGGTGGTGAAGGCCATGAGGGCGGCCATCAAGGAGACCGGCAGCTTCAAGCTCTTCTCCGCCAACATCACTGCGGATGACCCGAATGAGATGATTGCCCGAGGCAAGTACATCCTGTCTCAGTTCGGTCCTTTGTCTGAGAACTGCGCCTTCCTGGTGGACGGCTACGTTGCGGGCGGCACTGCGGTAACCTGCTGCAGGCGCAACTTCCCCAAGCAGTTCCTGCACTACCACCGTGCCGGCCACGGCTCAGTGACCAGCCCCCAGACCCAGCGAGGCTACACTGCCTTCGTGCACACCAAGATCTCGCGAGTCATCGGCGCGTCTGGCATCCACGTGGGCACCATGAGCTTCGGCAAGATGGAGGGCGATGCATCAGACAAGAACATTGCGTTCATGCTGCAGGACGACGAGGCGGATGGTCCTTACTACCGCCAGGAGTGGCAGGGCATGAAGCAGACCACGCCCATCATCTCGGGCGGCATGAACGCGTTGCGACTGCCGGCGTTCTTCGAGAATCTGAGCCACTCGAACGTGATCCTGACCGCAGGCGGTGGCGCCTTCGGCCACAAGGACGGCCCCAAGATTGGTGCCATCTCTTGCCGTCAGGGCGAGGATGCCTGGAAGGCATGGAAGTCGGGCCAGTACGGCAACATCAGCCTGAGTGACGGCGTGATTGAGTTCGCCAAGACCCACGAGGAGATCAAGGGTGCGTTCCTGACCTTCCAGAAGGACGCTGACCAGATCTACCCTGGCTGGAAGGAGAAGCTGGGCTACACTGGTGAGTCCTCCGTGCAGGCGGCAAGCTTCGACTGGGCCAAGCGCGCGTCGGCGGCGGCCTTTGTGGGTGCCAGTGTGGCCCCGTCCAAGAAGGAGAGCTCGGTGACGCGCCAGGCTTTGGACCAGTCCAGCCGCTATGCTGATTTGTCCCTGGATGAGGCGACTCTGATCAAGAGACTTAGCTGACTTGGCTGCAGTGCGAGAGTGCTCAATCGCATTTAGTTTGATTCGCCATTTGGCATAGTTTGCCGTGAGAATTTGTGAATAGGTGGTGCGTGGCTGTGTAACATGTTTAGCAAAGGAACGGCAAGCACGTGCTGGTGGCCTACATCATGAAGCCCAAGGCCGGCTATGACTATTTGGCTACGGCTGCCCACTTTGCCGCGGAGTCCTCCACAGGCACCAACGTGAACGTGTGCACCACTGACGACTTCACAAAGTCGGTGGATGCCCTGGTGTACTACATCGACCCAGACAATGAGGAGATGAAGATTGCGTACCCGAACTTGCTGTTCGATCGCAACATCACTGATGGCCGCGGCATGATGTGCTCCTTCTTGACCCTGGCCATCGGCAACAATCAGGGCAGCTTGGTTGCCTAGATGTCATAATTCCTTGAACGGCCAAATCACGGTCCTAATTGCAGGTGTTCGCTGTTGAGAGAGCTGAGTGAAGCAGATGCTTGAAGTGTGCATGGCTGCAGGCATGGGTGATGTCGAGTACGGCAAGATCTACGACTTCTACCTGCCCCCTGCGTTCCTGCGTCTGTACGATGGACCGTCTGTGAACGTGCAGGACATGTGGCGCATCCTGGGCCGTGGCACGACCAACGGGGGTCTTGTGGTGGGCACCATCATCAAGCCCAAGCTGGGCCTGCAGCCGAAGCCGTTCGGTGAGGCGTGCTACTCTTTCTGGCAGGGTGGTGACTTCATCAAGAACGATGAGCCGCAGGGCAACCAGGTGTTCTGCCAGATGAACGAGTGCATCCCTGAGGTGGTGAAGGCCATGAGGGCGGCCATCAAGGAGACCGGCAGCTTCAAGCTCTTCTCCGCCAACATCACTGCGGATGATCCGAATGAGATGATTGCCCGAGGCAAGTACATCCTGTCTCAGTTCGGTCCTTTGTCTGAGAACTGCGCCTTCCTGGTGGACGGCTACGTTGCGGGCGGCACTGCGGTAACCTGCTGCAGGCGCAACTTCCCCAAACAGTTCCTGCACTACCACCGTGCCGGCCATGGCTCAGTGACCAGCCCCCAGACCCAGCGAGGCTACACTGCCTTCGTGCACACCAAGATCTCGCGAGTCATCGGCGCGTCCGGCATCCACGTTGGCACCATGAGCTTCGGCAAGATGGAGGGCGATGCATCAGACAAGAACATTGCCTTCATGCTGCAGGACGACGAGGCGGATGGCCCATACTACCGCCAGGAGTGGCAGGGCATGAAGCAGACCACGCCCATCATCTCGGGCGGCATGAATGCGCTGCGATTGCCGGCGTTCTTCGAGAATCTGAGCCACTCCAACGTGATCCTGACCGCAGGCGGTGGCGCCTTCGGCCACAAGGACGGCCCCAAGATTGGTGCCATCTCTTGCCGTCAGGGCGAGGATGCCTGGAAGGCATGGAAGTCGGGCCAGTATGGCAACATCAGCCTGAGTGACGGCGTGATTGAGTTCGCCAAGACCCACGAGGAGATCAAGGGTGCGTTCCTGACCTTCCAGAAGGACGCCGACCAGATCTACCCTGGCTGGAAGGAGAAGCTGGGCTACACTGGCGAGTCCTCCGTGCAGGCGGCAAGCTTCGATTGGGCCAAGCGTGGCTAAGTGCATCGGCCGATGCTGGAAGTCAGTGGTCGGGCTCTCAGCGGGCATGGGATGGCTTGTTTGGACTTTCATGGCGTTGTGTTAGCATCCGCATCCACGTCATCATCAATTCGATCGTTATGTTTTCCACAGGAAGCAATGGCATTCATTGTCTGCCTTTCTTTACAGCGACCTGGGAGCAAAGCGAGCTCATGAAAAAAACAAGGTCCTTTGCTTGACTCAGGTTTTGGAATTGTCGGACCGACGGAGTCGGCTTGCCGCCATCTCAGGACAGGTGAGGGTGAGAGGCATGGCCCCTGACCTGGGAGTCCAAAGCGAAAGAAGCAGGGAAGATAGCAACCATATTACATATATACTGCACCACATACAGATTGATATGAGATGTATGCATGAATATTACATACATATACACATCTGCCCACACGCACACATATGCACACATTCTGTTTTTAACCAGCCATTCTTTCAGTCGCGTCCTTATCCTTTCCTCTTGTTCTTTGCAACAGGACTCTCCTGGGTTTGTTTCAATTCGTTCCAGAACTTGGGTCATCGTGCTTGGGCATCCCTGCGGAACTGGAATTCACGCCCAGGGATTCTCCAGATCCGTGTAGCTTCCAGCGCAGGGCTTGCGGGCCGCCAGTTCCTATTGTGGACCTCTACAAACTGCATTTTCCCTTACCATCGGCCTGGCCTCGCACTTTGCGCCCGTCGCTTGGGAGAGGTTTTCCAATGACGGCTCAAAGGAGCATTGCAGCTTCGGAGTGCGGCTGTTCAAAGAAGATCCGAACGTAGGATTGAAGGGCACGGAGACTTGGCTGGGAGTTGAGGCAGCCAGAACGAAGGCCTGACACCCTGGCAGCGCCCGTGATTTGGCGGTGATTTTGGGATCGCTCAAGTTTCGCAGAAAGGGAGTTGTCCCATGACCCATGTCCTGCAAGCCGACCAGGAAGATTTCTACCGCTCAGATGATTTGCAGCCATTTAATAGCAGAGCCGTCCCTTCTCGTCCCTTTCCGATTTCCGGATGGCGCGCGCTTCGAACCTGGCCCTGGCCGGGGCGGCCATGAGCGGCTTGTCCGTCCGTGACGGAAGCTGGGAATGTGTCCAGTCTGTTCCCTCGTGTTTTCCTTTCAAAGCACCAACAGGTTGTTTCCCCAGTTTGTGACACACACACACACACAGACACACACACACACACACAAATTTCCTTTTGGCTTTGCATGAAGATTGTTATCTGTTGCTGACTAGATTTTTCATCAATTTCCGGAAACTGTCAGCACTGGGTGTGACATGGTGTGACCATGTATGGGCTCATTTTCGTCGAGCGCCTGCTGGGTGGGATGATGCTGGAAAGGAGCGAGACCTGTTGTTGACCCTGGCAAGCAAGGCAAATTGATCATGGAGCGGAAATTGCAGTGCTGAGCTATTTGCTACCTGTCCTCAACTCGGCATTTCTAAATATATATTCTTTCCCAGGCAAGCTGGTCAGTTTGGAAAGCATGTACAACGTACATGATATATAATTTTTGGAGCATGAGGTAGGAGCACATGCAGGGGATGACTTGCGCCCCTTCCCCCTTCCCCCCCAAAAACAAAAGAGAGCCTCAAAACCCCAAAGCAGGTGGCCTCGCCTTGTTGGGCGACGCCTTCGTGGCACCGAACTCCGCCCCCGCGGCGTCGGCGACCAGCCTGCGGGGTTCGCAGGTGGGGTCTTCCTTTCTGCCGAAAAGGGGGCGGGGGGCTGAGGGGCTGACAGGTTGGTTGGATATAGCAAAGTTTCAGTCACTCCCTTGCTCCTCGGTGAGCCGTGCATCGCGTCGCTACACGCATCTGGTCGAGTTTTGGCATATCCAGCCCCCAGGGCTCCCGCCTTCGTGGGCTCCAGGCGGCCTCTCGCGCAGAGACCAGCGCCGGCGCTGCCCCGGCGGCCGTCGCCGCCTGCGGGGCGGCCGCGGCGCTGGTTGCGGGGCGGGCAGGCGAGGGCCTGGGCGTGGGCCGTTGGAAGATTCTTTGGGAGTTTGCCACTTCAATTGTTAAGGTAGAAGTTTCTTGGAGCCCAAAGAACCCATTCAAGGGAAGGCAAAGTGGAGGTTGTGGGACTCGGACCTTGAACCTTGGTTCTCAGCTTGTGTTCGGCGACTCGCCCGCACGGCCACCCTTTCCCCGAGATTCTACCAAATCGGTTTCAGGAGGGTACCCTCCCGTCCGCTAGCATGGAACCCGCCATAGGCTCGGTCGCTTTTGGAAATGTGAACCAGGACCCCCGAGTCAGGTTCCACGGATGCCAGAAGTCGCTTTCTCACCCCAGCCCCAAATGCGTCTGAGCCTCAGGCAGGAAGGGCCGCGTGAGCACGCTGCCCACCAGCGTGGTGCCCTTGGAGGAGTGATGAGGGCTTGAAGGGAGGGTATCAACTAGGGCTCTTCGCTTTCTTGTAGCCCTTGGGCATAGCCGAGCCAAGCCCGGGGGCGCTGCGGGCGCTGCGCTTGGAGGGAGCAAGCATGCAGCCTGATTTGGGTGGGGGGTGGGGAGGGCAGCCTTGCTAAACAAAAGCTCCTGCACCCGGGGTTCACAGAATTCAAGTGGCCAGGGAAACCAGTCCAACAACATCAAAGGCGTCTGCACCCCCCCCAGGACAGTCGCGTGGCCAGACCCGCCCTGGACCAGTCCAGCCGTTACGCAGACCTGTCCCTAGATGAGGCAACTCTGATCAAGAGACTTTACGGCAGGAAGAGAGTGTGGAGCAATGCCTGTTTTTGGCGTCATTTCTCCCATGATGCATATTGTCTAGTAATTGTGGGTGTCATTTTAGGTAGCTTGCCCTATTAAATACTTGTCTCACAGCAAAACTGCAACAGACTTTCCGACACGTTGTGGGGAGGAACGGCAAGCACGTGTTGGTGGCCTACATCATGAAGCCCAAGGCAGGCTACGACTATTTGGCCACTGCTGCCCACTTTGCCGCTGAGTCCTCGACCGGCACCAACGTGAACGTGTGCACAACTGATGACTTCACAAAGTCGGTGGATGCCCTGGTGTACTACATTGACCCGGACAATGAGGAGATGAAGATTGCGTACCCGAACCTGCTGTTCGATCGCAACATCACCGACGGCCGCGGCATGATGTGCTCCTTCTTGACCCTGGCCATTGGCAACAATCAGGGCAGCTGGGCACCAGAGTGGATGTGTGCTGGTTCGAGTACTGTTGGCTACGGCACCGCATGTTAGGTTTTGATTCCAACTGCCCTTGCATGCAATTGGCCTTTGCATGTAGGCATGGGCGATGTCGAGTACGGCAAGATTTACGACTTCTACCTGCCTCCAGCCTTCCTGAGGCTGTACGATGGACCGTCTGTGAACGTGCAGGACATGTGGCGCATTCTGGGCCGCGGCACCACCAACGGCGGCCTGGTGGTGGGCACCATCATCAAGCCCAAGCTGGGCCTGCAGCCGAAGCCGTTTGGCGAGGCATGCTACTCCTTCTGGCAGGGCGGTGACTTCATCAAGAACGATGAGCCGCAGGGCAACCAGGTGTTCTGCCAGATGAACGAGTGCATCCCTGAGGTGGTGAAGGCCATGAGGGCGGCCATCAAGGAGACCGGCAGCTTCAAGCTCTTCTCCGCCAACATCACTGCGGATGACCCGAACGAGATGATTGCCCGCGGCAAGTACATCCTGTCTCAGTTCGGTCCTTTGTCTGAGAACTGCGCCTTCCTGGTGGACGGCTACGTTGCGGGCGGCACTGCGGTAACCTGCTGCAGGCGCAACTTCCCCAAGCAGTTCCTGCACTACCACCGTGCCGGCCATGGCTCAGTGACCAGCCCCCAGACCCAGCGAGGCTACACTGCCTTCGTGCACACCAAGATCTCGCGAGTCATCGGCGCGTCCGGCATCCACGTGGGCACCATGAGCTTTGGTAAGATGGAGGGCGATGCGTCGGACAAGAACATTGCTTTCATGCTGCAGGACGACGAGGCGGATGGCCCGTACTACCGCCAGGAGTGGCAGGGCATGAAGCAGACCACGCCCATCATCTCGGGCGGCATGAACGCGCTGCGGTTGCCGGCGTTCTTCGAGAATCTGAGCCACTCCAACGTGATCCTGACCGCAGGCGGGGGCGCCTTCGGCCACAAGGACGGCCCCAAGATTGGCGCCATCTCTTGCCGTCAGGGCGAGGATGCCTGGAAGGCATGGAAGTCGGGACAGTACGGCAACATCAGCCTGAGCGACGGCGTGATTGAGTTCGCCAAGACCCACGAGGAGATCAAGGGTGCGTTCCTGACCTTCCAGAAGGACGCTGACCAGATCTACCCTGGCTGGAAGGAGAAGCTAGGCTACACTGGTGAGTCGTCCGTGCAGGCGGCAAGCTTCGACTGGGCCAAGCGCGCGTCGGCGGCGGTCTTTGTGGGTGCCAGTGTGGCCCCAGCCAAGAAGGAGAGCTCGGTGACCCGCCAGGCTCTTGACCAGTCCAGCCGCTACGCGGACCTGTCCCTGGATGAGGCAACTCTGATCAAGAGACTTTGCCGCAGAGAGAGAGAGAGAGAGAGAGAGTGAGAGTTGATCAGCTTTTTGTTGGTTGGGCTTGTTTTCACGGTGCTCGTTGTGAGTCATTTTGGAGGGGTCCAATCGTCTCACAGCGAAACTGTAACAGACTTTCCGACACGTTGTGGGGAGGAACGGCAAGCACGTGTTGGTAGCCTACATCATGAAGCCCAAGGCAGGCTACGACTATTTGGCCACTGCTGCCCACTTTGCCGCTGAGTCCTCGACCGGCACCAACGTGAACGTGTGCACCACTGATGACTTCACAAAGTCGGTGGATGCCCTGGTGTACTACATTGACCCGGACAATGAGGAGATGAAGATTGCGTACCCGAACCTGCTGTTCGATCGCAACATCACCGACGGCCGCGGCATGATGTGCTCCTTTTTGACCCTGGCCATTGGCAACAATCAGGGCAGCTGGGCACCAGAGTAGACGTGTGCTGGTTCGAGTACTTTTGGCTACGGCACCGCATGTTAGGTTTTGATTGCAACTGCCCTTTCATGCAATTGGCCTTTGCATGTAGGCATGGGCGATGTCGAGTACGGCAAGATCTACGACTTCTACCTGCCTCCAGCCTTCCTGAGGTTGTACGATGGACCGTCTGTGAACGTGCAGGACATGTGGCGCATTCTGGGCCGTGGCACCACCAACGGCGGCCTGGTGGTGGGCACCATCATCAAGCCCAAGCTGGGCCTGCAGCCGAAGCCGTTTGGCGAGGCATGCTACTCCTTCTGGCAGGGCGGTGACTTCATCAAGAACGATGAGCCGCAGGGCAACCAGGTGTTCTGCCAGATGAACGAGTGCATCCCTGAGGTGGTGAAGGCCATGAGGGCGGCCATCAAGGAGACCGGCAGCTTCAAGCTCTTCTCCGCCAACATCACTGCGGATGACCCGAACGAGATGATTGCCCGCGGCAAGTACATCCTGTCTCAGTTCGGTCCTTTGTCCGAGAACTGCGCCTTCCTGGTGGACGGCTACGTTGCGGGCGGCACTGCAGTGACCTGCTGCAGGCGCAACTTCCCCAAGCAGTTCCTGCACTACCACCGTGCCGGCCACGGCTCGGTGACCAGCCCCCAGACCCAGCGAGGCTACACTGCCTTCGTGCACACCAAGATCTCGCGAGTCATCGGCGCGTCCGGCATCCACGTGGGCACCATGAGCTTTGGTAAGATGGAGGGCGATGCGTCGGACAAGAACATTGCTTTCATGCTGCAGGACGATGAGGCGGATGGGCCTTACTACCGCCAGGAGTGGCAGGGCATGAAGCAGACCACGCCCATCATCTCGGGCGGCATGAACGCGCTGCGGTTGCCGGCGTTCTTCGAGAATCTGAGCCACTCCAACGTGATCCTGACCGCAGGCGGTGGCGCCTTCGGCCACAAGGACGGCCCCAAGATTGGTGCCATCTCCTGCCGTCAGGGCGAGGATGCCTGGAAGGCATGGAAGTCGGGACAGTACGGCAACATCAGCCTGAGCGACGGCGTGATTGAGTTCGCCAAGACCCACGAGGAGATCAAGGGTGCGTTCTTGACCTTCCAGAAGGACGCTGACCAGATCTACCCTGGCTGGAAGGAGAAGCTAGGCTACACTGGTGAGTCGTCCGTGCAGGCGGCAAGCTTCGACTGGGCCAAGCGCGCGTCGGCGGCGGCCTTTGTGGGTGCCAGTGTGGCCCCAGCCAAGAAGGAGAGCTCGGTGACCCGCCAGGCTCTTGACCAGTCCAGCCGCTACGCGGACCTGTCCCTGGATGAGGCAACTCTGATCAAGAGACTTTGCCGCAGAGAGAGAGAGAGAGAGAGAGAGAGAGAGAGAGGATCAGCTTTTTGTTGGTTGGGCTTGTTTCCACGGTGCTCGTTGTGAGTCATTTTGGAGGGGTCCAATCGTCTCACAGCAAAACTGTAACAGACTTTCCGACACGTTGTGGGGAGGAACGGCAAGCACGTGTTGGTGGCCTACATCATGAAGCCCAAGGCAGGCTACGACTATTTGGCCACCGCTGCCCACTTTGCCGCTGAGTCCTCCACGGGCACCAACGTGAACGTGTGCACCACTGATGACTTCACAAAGTCGGTGGATGCCCTGGTGTACTACATTGACCCGGACAATGAGGAGATGAAGATTGCGTACCCGAACCTGCTGTTCGATCGCAACATCACCGACGGCCGCGGCATGATGTGCTCCTTTTTGACCCTGGCCATTGGCAACAATCAGGGCAGCTGGGCACCAGAGTAGACGTGTGCTGGTTCGAGTACTTTTGGCTACGGCACCGCATGTTAGGTTTTGATTGCAACTGCCCTTTCATGCAATTGGCCTTTGCATGTAGGCATGGGCGATGTCGAGTACGGCAAGATCTACGACTTCTACCTGCCTCCAGCCTTCCTGAGGCTGTACGATGGACCGTCTGTGAACGTGCAGGACATGTGGCGCATTCTGGGCCGCGGCACCACCAACGGCGGCCTGGTGGTGGGCACCATCATCAAGCCCAAGCTGGGCCTGCAGCCGAAGCCGTTTGGCGAGGCATGCTACTCCTTCTGGCAGGGCGGTGACTTCATCAAGAACGATGAGCCGCAGGGCAACCAGGTGTTCTGCCAGATGAACGAGTGCATCCCTGAGGTGGTGAAGGCCATGAGGGCGGCCATCAAGGAGACCGGCAGCTTCAAGCTCTTCTCCGCCAACATCACTGCGGATGACCCGAACGAGATGATTGCCCGCGGCAAGTACATCCTGTCTCAGTTCGGTCCTTTGTCCGAGAACTGCGCCTTCCTGGTGGACGGCTACGTTGCGGGCGGCACTGCAGTGACCTGCTGCAGGCGCAACTTCCCCAAGCAGTTCCTGCACTACCACCGTGCCGGCCACGGCTCGGTGACCAGCCCCCAGACCCAGCGAGGCTACACTGCCTTCGTGCACACCAAGATCTCTCGAGTCATCGGCGCGTCCGGCATCCACGTGGGCACCATGAGCTTTGGTAAGATGGAGGGCGATGCGTCGGACAAGAACATTGCTTTCATGCTGCAGGACGATGAGGCGGATGGGCCTTACTACCGCCAGGAGTGGCAGGGCATGAAGCAGACCACGCCCATCATCTCGGGCGGCATGAACGCGCTGCGGTTGCCGGCGTTCTTCGAGAACCTGAGCCACTCCAACGTGATCCTGACCGCAGGCGGCGGCGCCTTCGGCCACAAGGACGGCCCCAAGATTGGTGCCATCTCCTGCCGTCAAGGTGAGGATGCCTGGAAGGCATGGAAGTCGGGCCAGTACGGCAACATCAGCCTGAGCGATGGCGTGATTGAGTTCGCCAAGACCCATGAGGAGATCAAGGGTGCATTCTTGACCTTCCAGAAGGATGCCGATCAGATTTACCCTGGCTGGAAGGAGAAGCTGGGCTACACTGGTGAGTCGTCCGTGCAGGCGGCAAGCTTCGACTGGGCCAAGCGCGGCTAGGTTGCTTGCTTGTATTTAGCGATACTCGCACCATTGTTTGGGTTATTTTATAATTGGCTTTTTTGGCCAGGTTGAATCCCCCCGCCTCACCATTATGCGCTCTTTGACAGGCGACCAGGTTTCCTCCTTTTTCCACCTTGCTTCCCCAATTTCTCTTTCTCCGCATGTTTGTGTGAAGCTGCAAAGAATCAGGGGGTTCGCTTTTCTCACTTTTGAGGGGTTTGGAGTGGGCGAGCTGTTTCTTCTTTGGCCCGTGCAGCCACAGGAAACATGGTGTGGTTAAAGTTGGCACATTCCTTGAAGGGTCTGTCTCGAGCTACATTGGGGACCTTTTCTGGATTACTTTAAGGGAAAGCAACAGAAAACAAACCTCTCATAGAAGTCTTCCCAACCAATTTTCAGACACCCCTTATGCCTGTAGGCAAAGGAACGATGACATGGATGTGGGAGCATGTGCCAGCTACTTTGGCCAAGCTTCCCAGTTGTTGTCGAGAAAGGTCAGATTGTTTGGGCCAGAGTTGGGTTTTCATATCTTCTCGTGGCCACTAAGGTCATTGAGACCGCATGGCGTTGACAGCGCTGGAAATAGTACATTAGGTAGAACAACGCTTGCATTACTGGGCGCTTGCATCAGCTTATGCTGTAGACGCCATCCCCCTGAACATTTTAACTTAAACTCGTGGAGGACATGCACATTTTGTTGCTTGCAGTGTTTGGCAAAAGGAAGGATGTACAATGCTGGCTGTTGCAAGGCACATGCCGTGAGCGAAAGTCTCAGATTAAGTTCAGCCGCGCATCAGCTTGCGGGTGAGAACGTTTCGTCGCTGCGAGTTTTCGCAATTCTCCCAATGGGCATTTTGTCACGGCACGAACAGTTTGAGAAGCCTCAGCAAGAATCTCGAGATTGAAGCTACATTCCCCGTTGTCAAGGAAACTGGACTGAGAGGTTTGTGTGTTGTGTGCCCTAGCCACTTGACGCGATGCCTCAGTTTCTCCTGTGTATCAGGGCTCTAAGAGCGCCTGGCAGGCAACAGAAGGGCGCTCAAAAAGGGCCGGGCGCGTGGGGTTCAGTCGCAGGCCTGTCTTCGCTCACTGGGAGCACTTTTCGCTGGATCATTGAGGTGGGATCCGCCCTGGAGGGATGCTGGGGCATCCCTCCTGTGTAAATGTTTGAGTTGTTGGTCGCTTGTCAACCGTTTGCCGGAAGTGCCTGTGGCCATTCTAGTTGTCTCGGCTCGAATTTTCCATTTTCTTCCCACCCGACATGACGCAGCGCTCGTCCAAAATCGCAGTGGCGGGAGCAGCTGTTGGCGCCTCTGCCATGTTTACGTTGTGAGAGCTTTTTTGCTCCCAATGAATTCTCCATGTACAAGCACGACATATATCGATGTTGCGTGCTTAGAACCTAGAGTCAGTAACAGACATGTGCTGGAACTACAGGTAGCTGCTGCGTCAGTGCTGGCCCTTGGACTGAATGAGCACGTTGCTTGTCGACGAGTTTGTGCAATGACCACTACATCTTCGACATGTCAATCTCAAAGCACCCCAGGTGCAGCGTGTTCTTTCCCTGGATGCCCCAATGGGGGCCATGTGCCCAGAGCTCGTTTCCTATTCCGCATCAGCGCAGGCCCCGAAAATACTTATATATATATATATATCTATATATATGCCATGTTTAGAGCTTGGCAGGCATTGGGTGAACATGTATCATCAATTGTTATGGGTCTGCCATTTTGGATCAAGACTGAGCCAAATTGGCAGATACCTTTTTGGTTTTCGGTTATATTGTTGACTGGAGTGGGACTCCGGTATGTCTGGCGCCGATGCAGGCCATTTGGTGGCCCATTGTCAGGCGCGGATGTTGCACCCGGCGGCCCTCATGGACTTCGAATCCTACGTGCAAGGACTGCTGGCCCGTGGGGAACGGGACCAGGCCGTTCGGCTGTGGAGGGCTGTTGTGGTGGTGGTGCACCTCCCCCCAACCGAGGCCTCCGATTTTCGCATTCATTCCCTGGGGTCGTTGCGGGAGGTTCCCTGCGTGGTGGAAGGGTGTGCTAGGTGCACAGAGATGCGTGGGGGGTTCCAGTTCCCGTGGCTCGGGACATGGACCAAACGCGCAGTCCTGGTTCAAGCGGAGGTTGGCCCGGAGGCAGCTTGGGACCTTTACTATGCGGGCCGGGACTACTTGGATGAGGATCAGCTTCGGGCCGTTGACTCGGGCATGCGAGTGCAGCAGCTGGTCCCGAGCACGTGGCGCGTTTCATTGGCTACGTGGAGTTGGCCGGCCTCGAGGAGTGTGGCCTCGATCGGGAGGCCGTCTTCTGGGCGTGGAGGAGGTGGCAGGCAGGCCGGGTCTCTTGGCGAGAGCCGGCATATGAGCCGATCCCCTCCGGCGACTGGGAGAGTCGCGATGGGGCCACCGCTTGGGCCGGGAAGGCTCTGGGCCAGCGGGAGAGCGTGTTTTTCCCCCCCCTTGCATGCGGTGTGGTGCCCTCACACGGCACGTCATCCGGGACAGGCCGATCTGCGAGGAATGCCTCAGCCATTTGGTCTCTCTGGGGGATCCTTAGCGCCATGGCAGCTGTACCGACCGGGATCTACGCTCGCCTGACGCCGGGGGGCAGTGGGACCCGGAGTCGGCTTTGGGCACGGTGGGCGCCCAGCACACCGCCAGGTGGAGGCGCGAGTACGGGCTGCAGAATGATGCGGACTTTGCGTTCGCCTTCCGCTCGTTTGAGGCTGCTGGCGGCAGGGACCTGGCCAACTCGTGGGTGCGGGTGCGTAGCGCACAGGAGTCCGAGCTGCTGCCGGCTGCGGCTGATGTGGTGGAGGGCGAGAGCCGGGGGACGGCTGTTCACCTTCCTTTTCGGCCTCTGGCCCCTCGGCCTTCGAGGGCTCCGGCGGTACGCCTTCGTGCAGTTCAAGACGAACCGGAGGCGATCACGATGCAGGTCCAGCGGCTCGGCGAGGCACTGCAGGACATGGGGGCGATGAAGCCGACAGGAGTCCTGACGGAGCAGCTGCGGCACGAGTGGAGAGGATCATGTACTCGTTTGGCGCAGCGGTTGGTGACGGAGGCGGAAAGGGCCACGGTGTTGAATGCCTTGCGCACATGGGGTGAGGTGATCACCTTCATGCAGGCGCGTTCTCGCCCGCTGCCGCCGGAGGTGGTCGACCTTGATGTTTTCCTCCACGAAGGAACAGCTGCCCCGGCCCGTGCTACCCAATCACTGGGGTTGAGCATGCTCACGCCGCCTGCGGGACCGCGTACTTGGCCCCGCTGTAGTGCAATGGCATGCGAGCATCCTCCGGGACGTCGCCTTTGGTCTGCCAGTCGCCCAGTGCCCTGAATGAGTATGACGACACCATCGCCGGGTTCTCCACCAAGTCCGCAAACTCATGCCGGACCATCCGGTAAACATCGGATAGCGGCCACGTCCCGACGGAACGCCAGCCCGCAGTCTGCCTTCTGCTTCTCCGGCACCAGGGCAAAGTCATGGAGCCAGGCCGCCGACCAGTCCCACCCGGTTGACAGCTGTCCGGGTACGCAGAAGTCGAAGCCCTTGCGAAGGCGCCGCTGCTTCCCTTTGATGCAGTGCGCATGGACCGTCGACATGGTTACCTTCCGCACCTCCGCCCGAGTGAGGTGCTTGTGGCGTAGAACTCCTCCATAGAGCATCCATGCCGCCAGCAACGCTTGCCAGCGATCATCGCCCTGCGTGTAGAGCTCCTCCATCCGCTGCTCCATCTTCAGCAGCATCACCGGTTCCACCACGGCTGGCCAAGCACAGGATGGTGGGAGCGGTTGCGGCTCTGACCCACCACGAGTCCTGGGAGTTGGTTCCGCCGGCGGAGGTTCAGGAGGCGGCCCAGGCTGGCCAGGCGGCGGCAGCCCAAGCCAAGGCGCGGGACGCCCAGGTGGTGTGGGCGGCCCCCCCACGCCTCAAGGAGCTTCAGAAGCGCTTCGCCCTGACGCAGGAGCTCAAGCGGATCGCCAAAGCCAAGGCAGAGGCAGCTAAACCAGCTACCACGATGCCGGCCTCGCTCAACGGCCGGCGTCTGACCGCAGTGATGCGTGATGGCAAGAGGCTATGCCCGGCGTTCCAATCGGGGCAATGCCCCGGGGAGCGAGTGTGCGGGGTTTGCACACCTTTGCGCATGCGTCCGCTTGACGGGGAGAGCCTGCGGAGGGAAGCATGCAGCGGGCGTGTGCCGGGTGACGAAGGTGGTCATGGTGGAGGACCCGGAGGCGTCCATCCCGGCCCGGCCGTCAGGGGCCGCGAGCAGTGGCTCGGCTAGTGCCGAAGCGATGATGCTGTCGCCCAAGATCAAGGCGGTGCCCCAGAAGCGGCCGCCAGAGCCGAGCGGCCCTGGTGAGAAGCGGAGGAGGCGTGACGCCTGGCCCGAGGGTGACTCGGAAGCCCCGTCACAGCCTTCGCGTCCGGCGGCTGTGCTCCCTGTGGCCCAGGGGGACCAGCTGTTTGATGCCCTTGCGGAGGAACGCGCTGCGCAGGTAGCGACGTGCATTTACCAGAATGCGAAGGGTGGCCGTTTGTGGTTGTCCGGACTCCCGAAGCAGGTGGAGGCGCCCAATTTCCCGCCCGTGACTCTGCAGATCATTTGCCTCCCGGCAGCCCGGAGAGCCGGGGGGGTGTGACATTGCCGGGGGCGTTCCCGGTGTACATGCCCATCACGAAGCCACGGGACCGCACGGAGGGCTGGAAGAACATGTGGGCTGTGCTGCAGCAGACGTTGGCGGCTGGTGAACAGGCGCTCGTGCACTGCATGGCGGGCCGGCACCGGGCCGCGGCAATGGGCATCCTGGCCCGTGCAGTCTTGACCCGGGAGACCATCTCGGAGTCGGAGGCGTGGATTCGGGCCCGCAGAAACATCGAGTACAGCAAGATCGCCCGCGATAAGGACACCGGGATGTGGGTGGAGCGAATGCGGCAGGAAACGAGGGTGGGACCCTCGTGGCCTTTGCCGGTGGGCTACGTGACCACGGTGCGCTCGAACATCCACCTGCGCATGATGAACGATGCGCCGCTGTGCAGCCACAAGCAGGCGCGCTCTGGTGCTGGGCGCTTGAGGGATCCGATCCTGTGCGACACCTGGGAGGAGGCGTCAGCGTGGGGGCGGACTTTGTGCCACCTTTGCCAGGTGCGAGCTCCAGCTGGGTGGCGGCGCAGTGAGTAGCCCATGGCTGATGTTTTGCGGTTTTGCCTTGTAGCGCCCCGGCGCGTCCAAATAAGCTTGGGTCCCCATTTTGCACGGGCCTCAGCCTGTGCCGACGGGCCCGACTCTGCTGAGAGCGAGAAGAAAGTCGGTGTTGAGGACGAACTGTTTTAACCCCAGAACCTCTGAGGCCCCCCCCCCCAAGGGGTGTGAAGTTTGGCTGGGACCTTAGGTTTTGGGGGAGAAGTGGAAGGGCGAGTGACGGTCCCCCGCAAGTGATGCTCCACGGCTTGACTCCACTGCACCTGCACTGTCATGGGGGTTTCCGTGGGAGACAGGGAGGGAAGTCGGTCATGGGACGGGGTCTGCCTCAGCCCATTTCGTATTGCAGGACTAGATCCGGCGTTGACAGCCAGGCCGGGGAGTGACCCCGGCGGCAATGGCAAGTTTGGGGTTGGTGCCTCCACCTGGAAAAAACCATTGAGGAAACCCTTGGGGCCCTGGCAATCAACTTCGATTTGGAGCAATCGGTCGTCCAAGCCCTCCTGAAACACAAGATTGCCAACCTGGAAGAATTTCGGTTTTTCTTCGACTCGGAGGCACAGGTTGAAACCTTCCTGGGCAAACTGAATCTGGGAGAGGATCGAATGATCCAGGTGGCTCGTTTGAGGCGGGCCTGGTCCGCGGTTTCACTGTATTTCAAGCAGTGTGACACCGACCGTTCCAAAGTGAGTGCCACTGACCTCGATTCACTGCTGGGAGACAGCGAGCTTCGGGATGTCAAGGTGGCCTTTTGGACCAGGTACCGAGTCCGGCTCCCCCCAGAATTGTACCCGTCGGATGCCACCGTTTCCCGAGTGAGTCGAGAGATGTCCAAGAGGCTGCTGTGCGTTTTCGATGTGTGGAAGGTTCGGTCATTGCAATTCCAGCTCACGTCATCCAGCAAGAAGAGGAAGCTGGCGGACACCTTGTTCGTCGAAGAGGACGCGGACGAGGACACTGTGGCCAGAGATTGGGAGGGCTATCTGGACAAGCTCTACACGTTGCTGGTGGCCTACGCCCTGGCTGGCACGGGCCGAGTGTCAGGTGCTCCGGAGGCGGCTAGGGAGGCCGTCCTGGGGGCCGACAGCACGAGCTTCGTCCAGGTCCCGCTCGATGTCCTCTTGGCCTACTACTACCGGGCCAGACGGGTGCTCCAGTCGCTCCCGCACCACAAGCGGCTGGGATGGCTGCAGGCTCAGGACCTGGCCGAACGGACTGAGTGGGTGACCAAGTTCCGCGAGAGCACCAAGACGCTGGGCAAGGTGGTCATGGAGGTGTTTGAGGCCCGGGACCCGCACCGGGTGGCGCGTGCCGGCGAGGGGAGCGCCGCGCCGGCCACTCCGGCTGTGGGCAAAGTGGCTACCAGCACCCCGAGTACGTCCCTCTTCCAGCTGGGTAAGCCGATTGGCGGCTAAAGTGCTGAAGGATGGAGTCACCCTGTGCCAGGCATTCCAGCATGGCAATTGCAAGGCGACCAAGTGTCAGCAGGGGGCTCACCGCTGCGGCCTTGTGATTAGGGGGGAGCGCGTCTGTGGGGGCAGCAACCACGGAGCGTCCACCTCTCGCGCTGGCAAGAAGGGCAAAGGCTCCTGATGGGGCGGAGGATGATGTGGCGGCTGCATCCTCTGGGTCCGCTGCGGTAGCGCTGCCTGGTGGCGAGCCACCTTTGATGGCTGACCTCATGTGTGGTCCGAACCTCCCGTTGACTAAAGCCTTCCTGTGGTGTGGATGGCGCACCGTCTCCGTGGACTGGCTCCTTGACCCCGCCCATGACCTGTCTAACCCCCTGAGGCAAAAGTCATTAGCAGGCCAGCTCGAGGAGACCGACTTCATTGCGGCCGCGATGGACTGCTCCACCAAGTCGCGGGCGAGGGAGATTCCACGGAAGTTCAACGACGGACGCCCAGCACCCCAGCCTCTCCGGTCAGCAGACCAGCCCCTGGGGTTACCAGGGCTGTCAGTCAAGGACCAGGCTCGGGTGGAGCTCACACACGCTGAAGGAGGGGGGGCCTCCGTGCGGGAGAACCCATGGAGGAGCTTGCACTGGTACCTCCCCCAGGAGCAGGCGATGATGGAGTCCGGACTGTGGAAGGACACGCAATATTCAGCATGTTTGCGGGGGCCCGGAGCAAACTCCAGTGCCTCAGACACAACGTCCAGGAGATCGAGGAGTGGCCGCCTTTGATGTGCCACCATACCCACCACCCCCGAGAGTGGGAACCACAGGAGAGTTCCGATGGCAGGTGGTACCCGTCTAAGGCCGAGGCGGAGTACACGGCAGCGCTGGCATTCAGCATCGCGGTGGCGGCTTCGTGGTGGGCGGCCCGGGTCGGCAAGGCACGCCTGACGGTCCCGCGGATGCCAGCGATCGAGACGGTAGGTCGCCGGGAGCACTGGTTGGAATTCGATGGACGGGCTCTACGCGAATGGGCCATGGCACCGATGGCGGTGAGCCTCGGGCTCAAGCCACCCCCGCTGGCATCGGGTGCCACGGTGCCTCGGCGAGTGGTGATCCTCGAGGTGCTGTACGAAGATGGTACCCTACCCGAGGACGTGGTCTACGTTGGACGAGGGCATCACAGCCATCGAGTCCCTACGTCCGACTGGAGATGCCCGTGGGTGCCGGGACACGATTGCTCGTGGGACGAGTGGATCCCACGTTTCGTGCAGTATGTCCACCAGTCAGGCCTGAATGAGCGATTGCCAGAGCTGATGGGCAAGAGGCTGGCCTGTGATTGCAGCTTTGAGGAGGTGTGCGAGGCTGACATTTTGGCCGGCTTGGTTTTTGAGGAGTGTGTCCAGCAGTCGGCCGCACAGCCAGCACGACGGAAGAACCGACGAGTGCCGAGACGAGGAGTTCTGCTGGCATGGGGCGGTTTGCCAGGAGTGGATGCCAGAGCGGTGCCGTGGAGGCGTTGGACGCAAGAGGCAGTGGTGAACTGCTTCTTGGGCCTCTTTCGAGCCCTGGTTCACGGGCTTCCGCTTCCCCATGATTGAGGACCTCATCAACCAGTCTCCATTCATCGACTATGCGGAGTGGCGGCACGGGCAGCATCTGGATTGGGATGGTCCTGTGGGCCCTGCCACGGCCCCGGCGGGGGTCCGCATCCGGTCGCGCACAGCGGAGGGGCAGCAAGCGGGTGCGTTGAGCCACAAGGCAGCCTTGCCCCCGCTGATCTCCGGTGTACCCAATCCGGACGACCACTTCGCTGCGGCCTTGGCTATGAAGATGACGCCAACCCCACTGGAACAAGAAGCAGTGATGGATGAGGATTTGCAGTTTGTGGCTTCAGTCATCACGCAGGGGGGACCTGCGCCAGATGCGACGTGGCGCCATCGGGGCCGTCAAGGAGCTGAAGCAGAGATGGAAGCGAGTGGATGATCAGTTGAGGCAATTCCAGGCACCAGCCCTCCAAGCAGTGACAGCACAAAGGGACATTGGATTGCTGGGCCTGTTGGTGATATTGCTGGCGTGGCCCGACGTATCATACCCCCATGGCCTGGTGGTGGGCCTGCCAGCAGTCGGCTTTGCCCCCCACTACGGCGTGTTCCCCCAGCAAGACGCGCGGAGGATCACCTTTGAGGAGGTCCTGGATGGGGCAGGCGAGAACAATCGGCTCGTGCTAGCTAGTTTGCGCCCGGGCAAGGATGATGCCTTCTTGCTGGAGCAGTCGCAGAAGGACGCTGATCGTGGGTTTTGCACAGCCCCGATGTCCCTGTCCGAGCTGCAGCGGGAGCTCAAAGGGCAGGAGTTCCGACTCATACCCAGGTGTGTCATCACACAGTCCTCAGGCAAGCAGCGAGTGATCGACAACGCAGATACAGGGGGTCAATCCCTCCGTTCATCGGACGCCAATAAATTAGTCCTCTGTTCACCATTGCGACCAGCCCAGCACATTGCAGCGGTGATGCAACGCATGGATGAGAGCCAACTTCGCTCGGCCCGCGAGGGTGACTCGTGGGAATCCGGAGGGGAGGATTGGCCAGATGCCTATCGCCACTCTCCTATGAGCAGTGAGGAGGCCAGGGGCTGTATCGTTTGTTTTTGGCATCAGGGCTGGGGGGCGCCTGCATTTCAGCGGTACGCAGGGCTGCTCTTTGGCCTGCCGTTGGCCGTGACCAGTTTCAACCGGTACTCTAGGCTGGCGGAAGCGCTGGCCAGACGACTGTTGGTCCTTCTGGTTTCGTTCTACTTCGATGACGCCCACATCACGGATTGGCGGTCGGCCGGTGGCTCCGGCCAGTGGGCACTGGAAGAGCTGAACCGGCTGCTGGGCACGCCATTCTCCGAGGACAAGAAGCAGCCTATGGCAGCCCAAGGGCTCTTTCTGGGGCTTGACCATGACCTATCTCAGGCACTGCACGACGGCGTGGTGTCGTTCTGGGCTCGGGAGCGGTTGCGCGAGAAGATGTCCGGGATGATTCAGAAGGTCAGGAACGAGGGGAGACTCGCACCTGGCCTCGCGGCCAAGATCTACGGCCTGGCTAACTTCTTGGAGATGGGAGTCTATGGCCGCGTGGGATGCGGAGGATTGGGCTCCATCAAGACGCGGCAGGCTGAGAGATCATCTGAGCTGACTGAGCCTATCAAGGCGAGCCTTGAGTTGCTAGAAGCAGTTTTTGCTACCCAACCACGCCGAGTGCTTCAGGTTTTACCAGTGCCGTGTGAGAGGTTTGTGATAGCTTCGGATGCGGCTCTTGAGAGCCCACGTCAGGGGACGGGAGGTTTCCTGATGGTGTGGGCCGACGGCTTCGCCGAGCGACGGGAAGCTTTTGTAGCCGACATCCCACTTGAGCTTTACCAGGTGTGGACTCCGGGGGACCGGAAGATTGCTCAATTGGAGCTGTCCATGGTGTTGTACGCCCTCCTCTGCCGACCGGATACATTCCGTAATCGGCGGGGAGTGTGGTACATCGATAACACCGCAGCCCTGATGTGTTTAATCCGTGGTAGATCCAGGGAGCCCGATCTGGAACGAATGTCCCACGTGATACACACAGTTTTGTTTGGGCTGAAAGTTTGGATGTATTGGGAGTGGATCCCTTCCAAATCCAACTGGTCGGATGCGATTTCTCGGTTAGGATGGCAGGACCCATGGGCCCGCCAGAATGATTTTTCAATGTCTACTGCTTTCTGTTTCCCCATCATGTGGAAGCTGCCATTTCGTGCCGTGCTCGCGGTGACGAGCTTTCTGTAGTGCTTTGGGAGTTGATGAAGTGCATTGGGGAACTTTTAAGGATGTTAGAGGCATCCCAACCGGAGTTGACCGGTGGCCCCCTCTAAGCACAGTCCATGCAGGAGATGCATGGAAATCCAAAGCATTATCCCTCAGGCGATGAGGGTTGTTACAGGCACGGGCAGTGCAGACTATGAATGATGAGAAGGGAAAAAGAATTGGGGTGCGTCGCAGCCTAGCAGTAGGAACGATACGTGACACATTGATGTATGCCATGTTTAGAGCTTGGCAGGCATTGGGTGAACATGTATCATCAATTGTTATGGGTCTGCCATTTTGGATCAAGACTGAGCCAAATTGGCAGACACCTTTTTGGTTTTCCCCACCCAACCCACCCTAGTTGTCTGGCCTGGCGTCCAGTAGCCGACAACTTTGAAGGTCCCGATGGGACTGGGGTTTGCGCAAAGGCGCACTGTGCTGTTTCGAGGGGAGGGGAACTTTTAAGGATGTTAGAGGCATCCCAACCGGAGTTGACCGGTGGCCCCCTCTAAGCACAGTCCATGCAGGAGATGCATGGAAATCCAAAGCATTATCCCTCAGGCGATGAGGGTTGTTACAGGCACGGGCAGTGCAGACTATGAATGATGAGAAGGGAAAAAGAATTGGGGGTGCGTCGCAGCCTAGCAGTAGGAACGATACGTGACACATTGATGTATATATATATATATATCTTAAGACACACATAAAATAACGTAACAAGCAGGAACACACAAACACACGCATTAATTAAGTCTCCTGCTCTTGGATGCCTGACTTAACCCCCCCGCCAGGCGGCATGGCGCTGCTGAATGCTGCTGATGCCTTCGTGGCGCCCACAGTTGCGGCACCGAGCCTCCGGGGCTCCAACGCAGCCGTGGCGCAGGCCGGTGGTGAGGTTGGTGGACGGGAGAAGGGGTGGTGTTGGTCCCCTGTTTTGGGCTTCGTGGTTTCCCGTGGAAGCCACTTAAAAAGATCCACGCAAGGCAGAGATGTGCCCTTTCGGGTGCCAGCATGTGTGAAGATTTGTTGGCTTCGACACTATCATAAGGTAAGAATGCCTCTCGTTTGTCGAAGAACTGGCTGTCCGTTTGGAGAAGCGGAAGACTACATTCGAAGGTCCAATTTTGGCGACACCAGGGGTGTAGCACGTGCGAGTTTGTCTTGGGGTGTCCGGGGCATAGGGTGCCTCCTTGCCAGCGGCAGGAAACAAAGATCCATGCGCCAGGCTCAGAGTGCGCCATCCTCCAGCGCTTTGCCGGCCATTGCCTGCGGTGGCGCAGTGGCTGCTGCAGCGGTCGCCGCCCGGACAGGCGCACGCGGGGGAGGGTCTGGGCAGGTCGGGGAGAGAACCTGACTCCGAACTCGGTGGGGCGCGGCATGAGTCGCGCCTTGGAAAGTGGGGGAAGTAAACTCCAAAGCTGTGAGTAGATGTGTCACAGAAGCTGACCGTCGGTCATGAACAGGGACGGTAAAGCTCTTGGCTTGCTTGAAGCATCTCATTTGGAAGGCCGCCAGTCACGTACTTCCAGCCTGCCCACCAGCGTTGTGCCAGTCAAGGAGCCGGGGTGTGGGGGTGCTTGGTGGATTGGCCTCTTTGGTGGCTCATCAACAAAACCCTTTGGATGACTCAGGGGGTTTGCTTCGGCGAAGGATTGCTTTTGAGGACTCGGGGGACTCCTCCTTCCTGAGCTTTCCGGTACCCTCTTTGCAACAATGGAAGGGGCTTCCCCAAAAGGAAGTTTGTCCTTGCTGGGAGGGTAGGAACGGCTGAAGAACGTCCGAAAGTTCGAGAGGAGAGCTGTGTGGCTCGACGCGCGCTGGACCAATCTAGCCGATACGCCGACCTCTCCTTAGACGAGCAGACGCTGATCCGGAACGGCCCCGGGGCAAAGAGAAAAGGCAAAGAGAAAAGGGTAGGCGTCGAAGGGATTTGGATTCCCAAAATGTTGTTCCCAACAAGACCATAGAGCAGGCTTGCTTTTGGGAGGATGCATCAAAAGCTGCTTGGTTGACTGTTAACGCAGAAAAGGCGGAGCCTGATCGCCCTTGACCAATAATTGCTGCCAACTGCAGTGGCAACACGTGGTACTGCATGCGTTCGTCTTGTTTTGTTGCTCTTAGGCAAGCACGTGCTGGTGGCCTACATCATGAAGCCCAAGGCAGGCTACGACTATTTGGCCACCGCTGCCCACTTTGCTGCTGAGTCCTCCACGGGCACCAACGTGAACGTGTGCACCACCGATGACTTCACGAAGTCGGTGGATGCCCTGGTGTACTACATTGACCCGGACAACGAGGAGATGAAGATTGCGTACCCGAACCTGCTGTTCGACCGCAACATCATTGACGGCCGCGGCATGATGTGCTCCTTTTTGACCTTGGCCATCGGCAACAATCAGGGCTGCTGGGCAGCAACGTGCATTTGTGCTTGTTCGAGTCCCCTTTTCTGCCGCTGGCTGTTAGGACTTGTTTGCGCCTGTCCTTGTATGTGTTTGTCTTTGCATGCAGGCATGGGTGACGTGGAGTACGGCAAGATCTACGACTTCTACCTGCCTCCTGCTTTCCTGAGGCTGTACGATGGGCCCTCAGTGAACGTGATGGACATGTGGCGCATCCTGGGCCGTGGCACGACCAACGGTGGCCTGGTGGTGGGCACCATTATCAAGCCCAAGCTGGGCCTGCAGCCAAAGCCGTTCGGTGAGGCGTGCTACTCCTTCTGGCAGGGCGGTGACTTCATCAAGAACGATGAGCCGCAAGGCAACCAGGTGTTCTGCCAGATGAACGAGTGCATCCCTGAGGTGGTGAAGGCCATGAGGGCGGCCATCAAGGAGACCGGCAGCTTCAAGCTCTTCTCCGCCAACATCACTGCGGATGATCCGAATGAGATGATTGCGCGGGGCAAGTACATCCTGTCTCAGTTCGGTCCTTTGTCTGAGAACTGTGCCTTTCTGGTGGACGGCTACGTTGCCGGTGGCACTGCGGTGACCTGCTGCAGGCGTAACTTCCCCCAGCAGTTCCTGCACTACCACCGTGCCGGCCACGGCTCTGTGACCAGCCCCCAGACCCAGCGAGGCTACACTGCCTTCGTGCACACCAAGATCTCGCGAGTCATCGGCGCGTCCGGCATCCACGTGGGCACCATGAGCTTTGGTAAGATGGAGGGCGATGCGTCGGACAAGAACATTGCTTTCATGCTGCAGGACGATGAGGCGGATGGGCCCTACTACCGCCAGGAGTGGCAGGGCATGAAGCAGACCACGCCCATCATCTCGGGCGGCATGAACGCGCTGCGGTTGCCGGCGTTCTTCGAGAATCTGAGCCACTCCAACGTGATCCTGACCGCCGGCGGTGGCGCGTTCGGCCACAAGGACGGCCCCAAGATTGGTGCCATCTCTTGCCGTCAGGGTGAGGATGCCTGGAAGGCATGGAAGTCGGGCCAGTTCGGGAACATCAGCCTGAGCGATGGCGTGATTGAGTTCGCCAAGACGCACGAGGAGATCAAGGGTGCCTTCCTGACCTTCCAGAAGGATGCCGACCAGATCTACCCTGGCTGGAAGGAGAAGCTGGGCTACACTGGCGAGTCCTCCGTGCAGGCGGCAAGCTTCGACTGGTCCAAGCGTGCAGCGGCAGCAGCCTTTGTGGGCGCCAGCGTGGCCCCTGCCAAGAAGGAGAGCTCGGTGACCCGCCAGGCTCTTGACCAGTCCAGCCGCTACGCGGACCTGTCCCTGGATGAGGCAACTCTGATCAAGTGACTTGATGATTATGGCATTTTGTTTTTCTTGTGTTGAGCTGGATGCAGGATGCATCGTGTTCACAGCTTGAACAGCTAAAGTTACGGGAACTTTTGTTGTGCAGTCCATGCGCTCATTTGCTTGCATACAGGAATGGCAAGCACGTGTTGGTGGCCTACATCATGAAGCCCAAGGCCGGCTACGACTACCTGGCCACCGCTGCCCACTTTGCTGCTGAGTCCTCCACGGGCACCAACGTGAACGTGTGCACCACCGATGACTTCACAAAGTCGGTGGATGCCCTGGTGTACTACATTGACCCGGACAACGAGGAGATGAAGATTGCGTACCCGAACCTACTGTTCGACCGCAACATCATTGACGGCCGCGGCATGATGTGCTCCTTTTTGACCTTGGCCATCGGCAACAATCAGGGCTGCTGGGCAGCAACGTGCATTTGTGCTTGTTCGAGTCCCCTTTTCTGCCGCTGGCTGTTAGGACTTGTTTGCGCCTGTCCTTGTATGTGTTTGTCTTTGCATGCAGGCATGGGTGACGTGGAGTACGGCAAGATCTACGACTTCTACCTGCCTCCTGCGTTCCTGAGGCTGTACGATGGGCCCTCAGTGAACGTGATGGACATGTGGCGCATCCTGGGCCGTGGCACAACCAACGGTGGCCTGGTGGTGGGCACCATCATCAAGCCCAAGCTGGGCCTGCAGCCAAAGCCGTTCGGTGAGGCGTGCTACTCCTTCTGGCAGGGCGGTGACTTCATCAAGAACGATGAGCCGCAAGGCAACCAGGTGTTCTGCCAGATGAACGAGTGCATCCCTGAGGTGGTGAAGGCCATGAGGGCGGCCATCAAGGAGACCGGCAGCTTCAAGCTCTTCTCCGCCAACATCACTGCGGATGATCCGAATGAGATGATTGCGCGGGGCAAGTACATCCTGTCTCAGTTCGGTCCTTTGTCTGAGAACTGTGCCTTTCTGGTGGACGGCTACGTTGCCGGTGGCACTGCGGTGACCTGCTGCAGGCGTAACTTCCCCCAGCAGTTCCTGCACTACCACCGTGCCGGCCACGGCTCTGTGACCAGCCCCCAGACCCAGCGAGGCTACACTGCCTTCGTGCACACCAAGATCTCGCGAGTCATCGGCGCGTCCGGCATCCACGTGGGCACCATGAGCTTCGGCAAGATGGAGGGCGATGCGTCAGACAAGAACATTGCGTTCATGCTGCAGGACGATGAGGCGGATGGCCCCTACTACCGCCAGGAGTGGCAGGGCATGAAGCAGACCACGCCCATCATCTCGGGCGGCATGAACGCGCTGCGGTTGCCGGCGTTCTTCGAGAATCTGAGCCACTCTAACGTGATCCTGACCGCAGGCGGTGGCGCCTTCGGCCACAAGGACGGCCCCAAGATTGGTGCCATCTCCTGCCGTCAGGGTGAGGATGCCTGGAAGGCATGGAAGTCGGGCCAGTTCGGCAACATCAGCCTGAGCGACGGCGTGATTGAGTTCGCCAAGACGCACGAGGAGATCAAGGGTGCATTCTTGACCTTCCAGAAGGATGCCGACCAGATTTACCCTGGCTGGAAGGAGAAGCTGGGCTACACTGGCGAGTCCTCCGTGCAGGCGGCAAGCTTCGACTGGTCCAAGCGTGCAGCGGCAGCAGCCTTTGTGGGCGCCAGCGTGGCCCCTGCCAAGAAGGAGAGCTCGGTGACCCGCCAGGCTCTTGACCAGTCCAGCCGCTACGCGGACCTGTCCCTGGATGAGGCAACTCTGATCAAGTGACTTGATGATGATGGCATTTTGTTTTTCTTGTGTTGAGCTGGATGCAGGATGCATCGTGTTCACAGCTTGAACAGCTAAAGTTACGGGAACTTTTGTTGTGCAGTCCATGCGCTCATTTGCTTGCATACAGGAATGGCAAGCACGTGTTGGTGGCCTACATCATGAAGCCCAAGGCCGGCTACGACTACCTGGCCACGGCCGCGCACTTTGCCGCGGAGTCCTCCACAGGAACCAACGTGAACGTGTGCACTACCGATGACTTCACGAAGTCGGTGGACGCCCTGGTGTACTACATTGACCCGGACAACGAGGAGATGAAGATTGCGTACCCGAACCTGCTGTTCGACCGCAACATCATCGATGGCCGCGGCATGATGTGCTCCTTCCTGACCCTGGCCATCGGCAACAACCAGGGCTGCTGGGCAGCAACGTGCATTTGTGCTTGTTCGAGTCCCCTTTTCTGCCGCTGGCTGTTAGGACTTGTTTGCGCCTGTCCTTGTATGTGTTTGTCTTTGCATGCAGGCATGGGTGACGTGGAGTACGGCAAGATCTACGACTTCTACCTGCCTCCTGCGTTCCTGAGGTTGTACGATGGGCCCTCAGTGAACGTGATGGACATGTGGCGCATCCTGGGCCGTGGCACGACCAACGGTGGCCTGGTGGTGGGCACCATCATCAAGCCCAAGCTGGGCCTGCAACCAAAGCCGTTTGGTGAGGCGTGCTACTCCTTCTGGCAGGGCGGTGACTTCATCAAGAACGATGAGCCGCAAGGCAACCAGGTGTTCTGCCAGATGAACGAGTGCATCCCTGAGGTGGTGAAGGCCATGAGGGCGGCCATCAAGGAGACCGGCAGCTTCAAGCTCTTCTCCGCCAACATCACTGCGGATGATCCGAATGAGATGATTGCGCGGGGCAAGTACATCCTGTCTCAGTTCGGTCCTTTGTCTGAGAACTGCGCCTTCCTGGTGGATGGCTATGTTGCCGGTGGCACTGCGGTGACCTGCTGCAGGCGTAACTTCCCCCAGCAGTTCCTGCACTACCACCGTGCCGGCCACGGCTCAGTGACCAGCCCCCAGACCCAGCGAGGCTACACTGCCTTCGTGCACACCAAGATCTCGCGAGTCATCGGCGCGTCCGGCATCCACGTGGGCACCATGAGCTTCGGCAAGATGGAGGGCGATGCGTCAGACAAGAACATTGCGTTCATGCTGCAGGACGACGAGGCGGACGGCCCTTACTACCGCCAGGAGTGGCAGGGCATGAAGCAGACCACGCCCATCATCTCGGGCGGCATGAACGCGCTGCGGTTGCCGGCGTTCTTCGAGAATCTGAGCCACTCCAACGTGATCCTGACCGCAGGCGGTGGCGCCTTCGGCCACAAGGACGGCCCCAAGATTGGTGCCATCTCTTGCCGCCAGGGTGAGGATGCCTGGAAGGCATGGAAGTCGGGCCAGTTCGGGAACATCAGCCTGAGCGATGGCGTGATTGAGTTCGCCAAGACGCACGAGGAGATCAAGGGTGCCTTCCTGACCTTCCAGAAGGATGCCGACCAGATCTACCCTGGCTGGAAGGAGAAGCTGGGCTACACTGGCGAGTCCTCCGTGCAGGCTGCGAGCTTCGACTGGTCCAAGCGCGCCTAATTGCCCAAACCCTACGGTTATGTTGGCAGCTGGGCTATAAGTTTAGAAGCACTCCTGGTACATTTGCTTGTTTTGTGTGTCGACTGGTGTCCTGCTTGGTAAGATGGCCCACGCAATGGCACTAGCTGAGGTGGAGATGATGATATGCCTCATCCTGAGATTTGTGCAGCGCACCGTGCAGGGGCAGCCATGACAGTAGTCATTGGCATACATCAATCAGATGTGCAGTTCGGGGTTCCCAACAGATGGGACTTAGGCCGTGGGCCCAAAGCTTCGAACCCAAAACCAACATGCGGCTGCATGCGGCCGGCGCAAAAACTTGCGCCCCGCATGCGCCCAACTCGCGCCCAACTCGCTTGGCGCACGCATTTTTCCGCAATCGAGCCGAGTTTTCGCAGAAAAGCAGAGGACGCCTGCTCTGGGCTGGCGACCAGGCAGAGTGGGAATGAGGTGGACCCTGAGAAGTTGTAATGCAAATGGACCGTGGGCCGCGTGGTTTGAGCTAGGTTGCAGCCCCGGGCCTGGGTGGGGGTTGAAGATTTGAAGAGAGGCAGGTGGCAGAGTTACATGAGCCACGCGCTCAAAACCCGGGTAGATGAAGCTGAGTAAGGGAGAATCCCAACCATAAATGGGTGCAGCCACCTTGCTATTTCTTTACATGATGACGGGTAGACTATTTTCATACCAGGTTTTGAATATGATATTACGTCGGATCACAGCATAAGGCTGGAAGCCTGGAGGGGTACATGAAACCGGCCCGGTAGTTTGGGGACGCACGATGGGATCATTGGTGGCCCTCAGATGATTCTTCCCTACCCGTTTATATTCAATCCTTTCTTCTCGTTTCTTCCTGCACCTGAACTGCCAAGCTCTAAACGGCTGTGGGCAAGTTGCTATGGAGTGTGACTCATCCGCCGCGAGCTTTGGGCTTTCCGGATTTTTCCCCCCCCGCTCTCCACTATGGCGAGCCGCTCATCCAAGTTGGCCGTGGCCGGTGCCGCGGTCGGCCCCCCTGCCACAGTTCGATGGGGGGGCGGGGGGGTTGTGTAGGTACAGAATCGGATATTATATATATAAAATAAATACATTAATATATATATATATATATATATATGCAACCCCCCCCCCCATGGACCCTGGTTTTACTGCCTTTTGGGGATGGCAAATCTAGAATTTCCAAATTTATATTCTCGAAATTTCCAATTTTGGGTCCCCAAAGCGTGATAATTTGGAGCCCGGAGTCCTCCACAATGTCCCAGTATGATACCCTTTGCAAATAAGATGTTACTTCAACTAGAATTGAAATTTTGAATATAGTTTAGTATGGATATAGTTTTAAAAAATGTGTTTATTTTCAATTACAGCTTAAACAAGCAAATCCATACCAAATAGCAGCTACATGAAAATGTAAATATATATTTTCGGCTAAACTCCAACTAATCTATAACACAAGAAGTTAGATGGAAGTTGTTTCCCAAATATAATCCAAGTGGTAAATATAATCTAAGACAAACACAACTCAATTTGCTTTTGATAATATCAAGTGAATAGAGACTACATCTCAAATATAATTCATATTAAATATGGCTAAACATTTGGAAATTAAAAATAGGATTTGTGTTGTTTGCATTCTGGCCCTTTTGTAGCACAAGAAAGGTCCGACATTGAACTTGTTAGACGGTGTTCCAAAGGGAAATTTCAAGGGAAGAGAGGTTCAAAATCTAAAACTATCTCGAAACAGGGATTCTAGCTAAACCGTTGTATTTAGAGTTCTATTTGCGCAGGAAAGTTAATTCTATCTCAAAAGGTGGAGGTAGTAGATGAGCAAATGTGGACAGGTAATTGAAGAGAGTGGAGGACGGTGTGTGAACGTACATACATATGTATATCTATATATACACAAACATACACACATATATAGTACCCCCAATGATCCTGCGCCTCCTCATAAAATACTGGAAAATGCAGTATTTTTGAGCGTTGCACCTGCCTTTGTTTACCTCCTGGAAAGGGGTCAACATGAGCATAGCTGACATGAAGGTCACCAAAAGCACTTGAAAGTTTGTCTAACCAATAACTTGAAAGTGTGTCCACTGGATCGCTAAGCACTTGAAAATTTGCTACTATCGGATGGAAGATTCAATATTGAAGATTACACAGAACCCTTTCCTGAGAATTGTCAATCCTGGCCAAACCCAAATAGCATTCAAGTTCTTCTAACACTCGAAAGTGCTTTACCACTGGATTGGGGATTCAATATTGAGGAGCCCACAAACCACCACTTTCCTGAGAATCATCCATCCTGGTCAACCCCTAAAATGTTCAAGTTGTTCTATCACCTCGAACATCCGTTACCACTGGATTGAACTATTTCACGGAAAACTTTTCCGAGAATCTTATTGAACACCGAGAGTATTGGGACAACCCTGGATTTTTTAAACTTTTTAAAAATTCTGGGATTCAAGATTCAAGATTCAATATTCCCAGGAAATATTTTCTCAGATTCTTGAATCTTGAATCCATAATTTTTAAAAACTTTTAAAACTTATGGGATTCAAGATTCAAGATTCAAGATTCCCAGAAAATATTTTCTCACATTCTTGAATCTTGAATCTTGAATCCCATAATTTTTTATACTTTTTAAACATGTCTGAGTTGTTCTTGTATTCTTGGATGCATTCAAACTCTTTCAGACTGCAGGTGCTGATGTCATTGCTTTTATCACATCTGTATGCATGCATGCGTATCATATATACATGTATGACCCTCCCCCCAATTTTGACACAAATCCAAGAAGCAAACAGAAGCATAAAACACTGGAAAATACAGGTCAATCGCACCAAGCCAGGGTCCATGGGGGGGGTACCATATATATATATATATATATTACCTTATTTATAGCATCATATATTTTCATTATAATGTAATGCACTGCAATGCGATGTAATGTAATGTAATGTAATGCCTCCAGTTTTACCTGGAGAATCCGTTAAGGCCTAAGTTGCCAGGTGGCATGGCGCTGCTGAACGCCGCTGATGCCTTCGTGGCGCCCACGCCTGCAGCTGCGCCGAGCCTCCGCGGCTCCAACGCAGCCATGGCGCAGGCAGAGACGTTGCGCGCAAGGTTCAGGAGGATTGTTTCTGAGAGTCTGGTGCAGCTTGGTATGCCGCAGGCTCAGAGTGCGCCGTCCTCCAGCGCCCTGCCTGCCATCGCCTGCGGCGGCGCGGTGGCTGCTGCAGCAGTCGCTGCCCAGCGGACAGGCTTGGAATGTCTTGAGAGCAGGTGTTGGTGGCAATGTGATTCGTCATGAAAAATGATCAAGCACACTGTATTTTACAGTGAAAGACAGTATTTTATGGGTGTGGAAGTGCTGGGACAAGGCGAAAACACGTTTTTTGAAGTAGAATCCTGGTAGAACATTGTGTTTTGCGGTATTTTCTAGACATAATGATGTTGAGGGCCCGAACAAGCACATGCTTGATGAACAAGCATCAGGGTTGTTTATTCTCACGGCAAATGGTTTACACAAATGTTTGTTGCAGATCCAGATGCATTTGGTCAGCTTTCCTTTGGTACCTTCATCCTTGATTGCCAAGCTGCTACAGGGATAGAACAATCTAAGCCGCTCATTTCTTCATGGCTTCTTGCCCTTCTGCTTGTTGCAGGGCTTAGACTTGCGCTTGGCGTGAGTCCAAGCTGAGTCCCAGCGCTTCAGCTCCAGGTAGGCAGTCAAGAAGCTCCGGCCTGCCCACCAGCGTGGTCCCAGTCAAGGAGCGGAGGCCTTTTGCGGGGCGGCAAGAAACTCGCCCCAGTCCCAGGTGTGGAGAGGGGGGTTGGTGGCAGCGGGGGGTAGTAGGCGGCAGTAGTCCGGCGAAAAAAATTGGTTGACGAGATCAGAGGCCAGTAGAAATGCAGGTCACAGAGATGTGAGGCCTCGGCAAATGAGAAGTGAGATGAGAGGGTTGGTGCAAACGGCAAAGAGGAAGGTGGTGCGCATTCCAATGTCCAATCCTTGTTTTGATACTCTGGACTGGCATTGCTACAAGTGTTCCTGGCAGACAGCGCTGCAGTAAGACGTTGGAACAGTGAGCTGAAGATTGATTCTGGAGTGCAAGACAGATCTTGTCTAGCAAACAAGCTTTTGCACGTGGGGTTTGCATGCACATTACATGCACATTTGCCAAATGTTTGTTTCCCAAAAGTGCGAGGAGGGGCATCAAGTTTCTTAAGCTACCATCTCTTTTTGGGACACTCCGAAATATACCCACCCACGAGCAAGCAAAGGAAGGAGGGGGAGAGAGAGAGAGAGAGAGAGCGAGAGAGAGAAAGAGAGAGACAGAGAGAGAGAGGGGGAGGGAGAGGGGAAGATGCTTCAGGACAGCTGCGTGACCCGCCGAGCGCTGGACCAGTCCAGCCGCTACGCGGATCTGTCCCTGGATGAGGCAACTCTGATCAAGTGACTTGATGATTATGGCATTTTGTTTTTCTTGTGTTGAGCTGGATGCAGGATGCATCGTGTTCACAGCTTGAACAGCTAAAGTCACGCACACTGTTGTGCAGTCCATGCGCTCATTTGCTTGCATACAGGAATGGCAAGCACGTGTTGGTGGCCTACATCATGAAGCCCAAGGCCGGCTACGACTACCTGGCCACGGCCGCGCACTTTGCCGCGGAGTCCTCCACGGGAACCAACGTGAACGTGTGCACCACCGATGACTTCACGAAGTCGGTGGACGCCCTGGTGTACTACATTGACCCGGACAACGAGGAGATGAAGGTTGCGTACCCGAACCTGCTGTTCGACCGCAACATCATCGATGGCCGCGGCATGATGTGCTCCTTCCTGACCCTGGCCATCGGCAACAACCAGGGCAGCTGGGCAGCATTGCGTGGATGACATGTAGCCCTGCATGAAAACAGGTCTGAAGGCTAGATAGCAGGAATTGGAGGCACAAGAGTTTGTTGCTTATGATTTGATGTGTTCAAATTTGAATCGGCTT